ATGTCAAGTCGTGTGAAGCTATTATTAATTCTTGAAGAGATTCTTTGAGATCGCACATTTATAAGGAGATGTTTAAAGATTTCCAAATCACATCACAGAAAACACATTTTCTAAAGAATGTTTAAAGATTTCCAAATCACATCACAGAAAACACATTTTCTAAAGAATGTTTAAAGATTTCCAAATCACATCACAGAAAACACATTTTCTAAAGAATGTTTAAAGATTTCCAAATCACATCACAGAAAACACATTTTCTAAAGAATGTTTAAAGATTTCCAAATCACATCACAGAAAACACATTTTCTAAAGAATGTTTAAAGATTTCCAAATTACCTCACAGAAAACACATTTTCTAAAGAATGTTTAAAGATTTCCAAATCACCTCACAGAAAACACATTTTCTAAAGAATGTTTAAAGATTTCCAAATCACATCACAGAAAACACATTTTCTAAAGAATGTTTAAAGATTTCCAAATCACCTCACAGAAAACACATTTTCTAAAGAATGTTTAAAGATTTCCAAATCACCTCACAGAAAACACATTTTCTAAAGAATGTTTAAAGATTTCCAAATCACATCACAGAAAACACATTTTCTAAAGAATGTTTAAAGATTTCCAAATCACCTCACAGAAAACACATTTTCTAAAGAATGTTTAAAGATTTCCAAATCACCTCACAGAAAACACATTTTCTAAAGAATGTTTAAAGATTTCCAAATCACATCACAGAAACACATTTTGTAAAGAATGTTTAAAGATTTCCAAATCACATCACAGAAAACACATTTTCTAAAGAATGTTTAAAGATTTCCAAATCACCTGACAGAAAACACATTTTCTAAAGAATGTTTAAAGATTTCCAAATCACATCACAGAAAACACATTTTCTAAAGAATGTTTAAAGATTTCCAAATCACCTCACAGAAAACACATTTTCTAAAGAATGTTTAAAGATTTCCAAATCACCTCACAGAAAACACATTTTCTAAAGAATGCTTAAAGTATAAAAGATTTCCAAATCACCTCACAGAAAACACATTTTCTAAAGAATGTTTAAAGATTTACAAATCACCTCACAGAAAACACATTTTCTAAAGAATGTTTAAAGATTTCCAAATCACATCACAGAAAACACATTTTCTAAAGAATGTTTAAAGATTTCCAAATCACCTCACAGAAAACACATTTTCTAAAGAATGTTTAAAGATTTCCAAATCACCTCACAGAAAACACATTTTCTAAAGAATGCTTAAAGTATTAAAGATTTCCAAATCACATCACAGAAACACATTTTCTAAAGAATGTTTAAAGATTTCCAAATCACATCACAGAAAACACATTTTCTAAAGAATGTTTAAAGATTTCCAAATCACCTCACAGAAAACACATTTTCTAAAGAATGCTTAAAGTATTAAAGATTTCCAAATCACCTCACAGAAAACACATTTTCTAAAGAATGTTTAAAGATTTTCAAATCACCTCACAGAAAACACATTTTCTAAAGAATGCTTAAAGTATTAAAGATTTCCAAATCACCTCACAGAAAACACATTTTCTAAAGAATGTTTAAAGGTTTCCAAATCACCTCACAGAAAACACATTTTCTAAAGAATGTTTAAAGATTTCCAAATCACCTCACAGAAAACACATTTTCTAAAGAATGCTTAAAGTATTAAAGATTTCCAAATCACCTCACAGAAAACACATTTTCTAAAGAATGTTTAAAGATTTCCAAATCACCTCACAGAAAACACATTTTCTAAAGAATGTTTAAAGATTTCCAAATCACCTCACAGAAAACACATTTTCTAAAGAATGTTCGTTACTTTAAAGTCAAGCACTTTGTGTGCAGGAAGGAATCAAGAGTCTATTTGATGTAAAACTACCAAGCCATACATATTCTGTCAAGTTCCATCAAGAGTCTATTTGATGTAAAACTACCAAACCATACATATTCGGTCAAGTTCCATCAAGAGTCTATTTGATGTAAAACTACCAAGCCATACATATTCTGTCAAGTTCCAGAAATATCGTCTGATGCCTAGTGGAACACACGAGGAAATTTAAAGACAGTCTGGTTGTAAGACAGTCTAGTTTAAGACAGTCTAATTGAAAGACAGTATAGTCAAGACGGCCAATATCAGCTGTTGTGACGTCAAGACGGCCAATATCAACTGTTGTGACGTCAAGACGGCCAATATCAACTGTTGTGACGTCAAGACGGCCAATATCAACTGTTGTGACGTCAAGACTGTGATGTTTAAAGTCAATTAAAAACGTTTGACTCAAGTCGGTGATTGATCTGCCATTTGAACCTATACTTTCACCTGGGTAGTAGATCTATGTATGCTTGTCTTTAAATCTTTGACTTTTTCTTCTGCTTTATTGAATGGTCCATTTTGATTTGCTCCATTGAATGGTCCTCTTGAGGTTGCTGTTGAATTCTCTTTTTTGTCTGTGATTAAAAGAGTCCTCATTTAATTCACTGCACCTTTCTTGTAAGGGGAGCTACTCTAGTCTTTCAATTCGCTTACATTTTAAGGGGAGCTACTCTAGTCTTTCAACTCGCTTACATTTTAAGGGGAGCTACTCTAGTCTTTCAACTCGCTTACATTTTAAGGGGAGCTACTCTAGTCTTTCAACTCGCTTACATTTTAAGCAGATTGACTCTTCTAGTAAGTTGAAGGTTTCTTCTCCCCCCCCCCCACCCCTAACCCCCACAAGAAGATGAGACACGTTGTATCCGTGGTTGGCCAACAGATTATGTAAGTGATGTAAATGTAAGTGGTGGTTTAAGTGATGAAAGTGTAAGTTTGGTTTAAGTGATGTAAGTGTAAGTGGTGGTGTAAGTGATGTAAGTGTAAGTGGTGGTGCAAGTGATGTAAGTGTAAGTGGTGGTTTAAGTGATGTAAGTGTAAGTAGTGGTGTAAGTGATGTAAGTGTAAGTGGTGGTTTAAGTGATGTAAGTGTAAGTGGTGGTGTAAGTGATGTAAGTGTAAGTGGTGGTTTAAGTGATGTAAGTGTAAGTGGTGGTGTAAGTGATGTAAGTGTAAGTGGTGGTGTAAGTGATGTAAGTGTAAGTGGTGGTTTAAGTGATGTAAGTGTAAGTGGTGGTGTAAGTGGTGTAAGTGTAAGTGATGGTGTAAGTGATGTAAGTGTAAGTGGTGGTGTAAGTGGTGTAAGTGGTGGTATAAGTGTAAGTGGTGGTGTAAGTGATGTAAGTGTAAGTGGTGGTTTAAGTGATGTAAGTGTAAGTGGTGGTGTAAGTGATGTAAGTGTAAGTGTTGGTGTAAGTGATGTAAGTGTAAGTGGTGGTTTAAGTGATGTAAGTGTAAGTGGTGGTGTAATATTTGAGTGCCTGTCTGAGGTGAGAGTTGGCTGACGATCATCTAATTAGTGATCGTTAATTGTGTTAATTATCTTAATAGATACATTGTTTACAGTGATAAGGTGTGTAGGTCAGACATTAGATGTCAGGTGTGTAGGTCAGACATTAGATGTCAGTAGGTCAGACATTAGATGTCAGGTGTGTAGGTCAGACATTAGATGTCAGGTGTGTAGGTCAGACATTAGATGTCATGTTGTAGGTCAGACATTAGATGTCAGGTGTGTAGGTCAGACATTAGATGTCAGGTGTGTAGGTCAGACATTAGATGTCAGGTGTGTAGGTCAGACATTAGATGTCATGTTGTAGGTCAGACATTAGATGTCATGTGCTGGTCAGACATTAGATGTCATGTGTGTAGGTCAGACATTAGATGTCAGGTGTGTAGGTCAGACATTAGATGTCATGTGTGTAGGTCAGACATTAGATGTCATGTTGTAGGTCAGACATTAGATGTCAGGTGTGTAGGTCAGACATTAGATGTCAGGTGTGTAGGTCAGACATTAGATGTCATGTTGTAGGTCAGACATTAGATGTCATGTGCTGGTCAGACATTAGATTCATGTGTGTAGGTCAGACATTAGATGTCAGGTGTGTAGGTCAGACATTAGATGTCATGTGTGTAGGTCAGACATTAGATGTCAGGTGTGTAGGTCAGACATTAGATGTCAGGTGTGTAGGTCAGACATTAGATGTCATGTGTGTAGGTCAGACATTAGATGTCAGGTGTGTAGGTCAGACATTAGATGTCATGTGCTGGTCAGACATTAGATGTCAGGTGTGTAGGTCAGACATTAGATGTCAGGTGTGTAGGTCAGACATTAGATGTCAGGTGTGTAGGTCAGACATTAGATGTCAGGTGTGTAGGTCAGACATTAGATGTCAGGTGTGTAGGTCAGACATTAGATGTCAGGTGTGTAGGTCAGACATTAGATGTCAGTAGGTCAGACATTAGATGTCAGGTGTGTAGGTCAGACATTAGATGTCAGGTGTGTAGGTCAGACATTAGATGTCAGTAGGTCAGACATTAGATGTCAGTAGGTCAGACATTAGATGTCAGGTGTGTAGGTCAGACATTAGATGTCAGGTGTGTAGGTCAGACATTAGATGTCAGGTGTGTAGGTCAGACATTAGATGTCAGGTGTGTAGGTCAGACATTAGATGTCAGTAGGTCAGACATTAGATGTCAGGTGTGTAGGTCAGACATTAGATGTCAGGTGTGTAGGTCAGACATTAGATGTCAGTAGGTCAGACATTAGATGTCAGTAGGTCAGACATTAGATGTCAGGTGTGTAGGTCAGACATTAGATGTCAGGTGTGTAGGTCAGACATTAGATGTCAGGTGTGTAGGTCAGACATTAAATGTCAGGTGTGTAGGTCAGACATTAGATGTCAGTTGTTTAAGGGACATTTTCTAGCAAAGCTGGTTGATATAATTCTTAACTGCCTAGTTCTAGCTGTGTGTGTGTGTGTGTGTGTGAAGAGCGGGTGGAGGCGGGGGGGGGGGGGGGCGGTGCTAGGAGAAAGTTTGACGAATGACCTGAAGTGTTGACATTCCAGCATAGATACAATGCCAGTTTACAGACACTTGTTGAACCAGGCATTGGCAGCATTCCAACACCGATAGCAACAGCCAAAGCACGGTGATATTCACACAACTATTGTGATTGGTGATATTCACACAACTATTGTGATTGGTGATATTCACACAACTATTGTGATTGGTGGTGATATTCACACAACTATTGTGATTGGTGGTGATATTCACAAAACTATTGTGGACGTTGATAGTCACACTACTACCGTGAATTGTGATATTCACACATCTATTATTATTGGTGATATCCACACAACTATTGTGAACGGTGATATTCACACAGCTGTTGTTATTGGTGATATGCATACAACTATTTTGGTTTCTGTAAATATTTTTTGGCCCAGTTGTTGTGGAGGCATGTTTGTAGGCTGGCGCCTGTAAATCTCTGCTTCTATTATGTTGCCGACTTGTCTGGATTGGTTTTCCACCGTCTACGCGACAATCTGAATTACTAATCCAGTTGTCTTGTTGCTAAACTTTTCCTGCCAACATCAGGCTACAATGAGTAGGGGACGGGCTGTCAAGCTACCCCCGAACTTAAATGTACCAGCAGACGATAAGCCCGGCTATAACAGACTGAAGCCTAAGGTACGATTAAAAAAACAATAGTGCTAAACCTTGGCGTTAGATTGACATTTCCTCAAGATATCGACTTTTTTAAACGCAAATGCTTCTCAAATATTGTATGTGTGTAAATACATAAAAAAGCATATATGTATATATATATATATATATGTATATATATATGTATATATATATATATATATATATATATATATATATATATATATATATATATATATATATATATATAGGCACCTAGAGATACGTATATAATTCGTGCCATTACTGTACCGTTACATTGCTCTATGTATCGCAGAACGATTTTCCCCCATTAAAATGTCAATAATCCCATCCCCCTCCCCATGTCGCCCCAGTCGTTTGAGAGTTGTAGATCGGCGAGGTCGGGTGGCCACCCTAAACCCCGACCTAGGGAGTGCCAAAATGAGTAATAAAAATAATTAAACAGCCCATTTCGAGCTACATTATTGATTACAGTCGTAGTTAAGAAAACAATCATTCTATTTGGCTTTACAAATTGATTTAACTGTTTAACATCGAAATAGATGCCATTAAAGGCCACTTGAGTCAAAAGTCTGTAAAGTAAATACATTTTCAATATTAAGAAATGACACAACTAGTAGGCTTAAACCCAGGCAGCCCAGGCTACTGAGCGATCAAAGGTTGGGTGTCCTTCGGTCAATACTTTACAGAACAACACAATTACAATTACAATACGTATACGTCATAGTATACGAGGAAGTAAAAAATAGGCAAAGAGAAATATGCACACAGAAAAACAAATAAAAATTTGCGCACACAGAAAACTACACATAGATCGATCACCAATGAGGATTATGGCAATGTGCGTGTGTTGTGTGCGTACATGTTTGAGTTTGCACGTGCCTATTTGCATACATAGACAGATTTTTTTTTCAACGTCTGTACATTTTTAGTGAATATTAAATGCGCCCTCACTTTCTAAAATGAATAGATTCATAAAGTGCTAAGATTGTCTGACTACAGATGTTTTTCGACGTAAAGTGGCGCTCTCAGGAGCCCCCCCCCCCCCCCCGATTACACTACCGCATAGGCGCAGCGTACGGCCCCTGGCTCCTTAAAACTACCAGGCGCCATCGTGCTCATAGGATAACCCAGAGTGCCAAATAGCATCCTGTTTAAAATGGGTTTAGGACAAAAGGCCGACATCCAAAAGGCCGACAAAACAAAAGGCCGACACGGACAAAAGACCGACAGATGAAAGGCCGACAGGACATATGGCCGACAGGACATAAGGCCGACAGTAAATAAGGCCGACAGTCAAAAGGCCGACAGACCATAAGGCCGACAAACCATAAGGCCGACAAACATAAAAATACTTATATCGCAAAATATGTATTACTTATAGCTCCTACCTAGATAACTATCGAAATAAGGCATACAATGAGGCAAAACGTTCAAGAGAAGAGACGATGCTAGTTGCTATTCTTATAAGGTGAACCATTGGGTAACAGCGACTGGAGATTACGGGAGTGTCTTAAACACAAATAAGAAACACCTAAATATTGCGAAATGCGGTCACTACTGTCTTTTATAGCTCCTTCTATGTAAACTAGGTGAGACAAACATCAAAGAACCAAAATCAAAAGCCGCGGGCATCATACAACATGGTGGAACGCCAAGAGACAAAGCTAGTTGCTATCTTTATGAGGTGGACAATGGGGATGACTGGAGTGTAAAAAGGATAAAAAGATAGGTGGCTTCACCACCATATTTCGCAAAAAGAATGAAAGAATCCATCTGTACATTACAATTATCTAAATGGAATTATAAGGACCCAAAACACGAGGGGTGGCACAGGTGGTGGCAGGTAATCGTCAGAAAGTATCACTCTATAGATTTTTGTTTGCTCAAAAAACTAAAAGAAGAACAAGATCACTCTATAGACTTTTGTTTGCTCAAAAAACTAAAAGAAGAACAAGGAAGAGTGGAAGTAGAGATGGAGGCAATACTGCTTGGTGAACCATCACAAAAAAAAAAACACAAAAAAAAACAACAACAATATTTACAAAAAGAGGGCAGGATAGCAAATTTAATTTCAGAACGTGAAAACAGAAGTAGATTTGAATTTCTACGTGGAATAGCATACATTTTTACTTTCTCGTATAGAGAAAGTATTGTAATCGTGCAAAAAAAAAAACAAGATTTTTACAAATCTCGACGTTTTACACCTCACTGATACGGAAAAACATAATTTTGCAATCTTGTCCGTATGTCTGTGTGTCTGTCTGTCTGTGTGTAAACACGATAACTTGAGTACCGTTACAGCTAGGTTGATGAAATTTTATATATAAGTATTTTATCAAAATCGTAGATCCTGATCAACTTTTGAGCGATTTCCGATAACCGGAAGTGGTACTTTTTCTACTTTGAATTTTTCAAAAGCCTATAACGTGAGTTCTGTCTCAGATAGATAAATGAAATTTCACATGTAAGTAAAAGATTTAATTTTCTGCCTTCTGTCAAATTTTGAGTAATTTGAGTAAAAATTTGAGAACGCATTTGAATTTATAAAGTACTAATAATATCCCGCACTATTATGCACAATTTATTTGGCGTGCAATTCTATTTTTCTATGAGATTTTATTCTATTTTAAATACTGTTCCCTACACACCCCACTCAAGGAAAAACTGTATGGGGCACCCGCTGATCTGGAGACCACAGTCCAGTTCATACACGAAGTTGGGCTTGTTGTTTAATTCCTCCATCATATACTTAATTAAGAACGAAGAAGAAGAAGAAGAAAACGGATGGTGAAATTAGACTTTTAGAGAATGCTGGAAAGTCTCTCTCTGGGTGCCGACGCATAGGAAAGCGTTTTTTTTTTTTTGCGTTTGTGTTTGCATTGTGTTTGTGTTTGCGTTGTGTTTGTGTTATGTTGAGTTGTTTGTGTTGTGTTGTGTTTGTATCGTGTTTGTGTTGTGTTTGTGTTATGTTCGGTTTTGTTTGTGTTGTGTTTTTGTTGTGTTTGTGTCATGTTTGTGTTGTGTTTGTGTTGCGTTTGTGTCGTGTTGTGTTTGTTTTGTGTTGTGTTTGTGTTGTGTTTTTGTTGTGTTTGTGTCGTGTTTGTGTTGCGTTTGTTTTGTGTTTGTGTCATGTTTGTGTTGTGTTTGTGTTGCTTTTGTGTCGTGTTGTTTTTGTTTTTGTGTTTATGTTGTGTTTGTGTTGAGTTTTGTTGTGTTTGTGTCATGTTTGTGTCATATTTGTGTTGTGTTTGTGTTGCGTTTGTGTTGTGTTTGTGTTGTGTTTGTGTCGTGTCGTGTTGTTTTGTGTTTGTTTTGTGTTGTGTTTGTGTCTTGTTTGTGTCATGTTTGTGTTGTGTTTGTGTTGCGTTCCGTTCCGTTTGTGGCGTGTTGTGTTTGTTTTGTGTTTTTGTTGTGTTTATGTTTGAGTTGTGTTTGTGTTGTGTTGGTGTTTATATTTGTTCTGTTCCCAAATTGGTACATTTAAAAATGATTAACCGTGGCAGAGCACGGGTATTCATCTAGTACATATATATATATATATATATATATATATATATATATATATATATATATATATATATATATATATATGTATGTATATCAGGTTGAAACAAGAATGGTTTTATAGTAAATTAATAGATATGGTGTTACACCTAGCCCGGACGTTGATTTTCTTAACAGTTATTGAAAATATTCAACTAAACATTTTATTCCTCTGTAAATTTTGCAGTTGGTATAAAACACCCCCCCCCCCTCTCTTCCCCCCCCCCCCCCCCCCACTCCCCCGTGATAGCTTTAAATTGAGCACAGTTAATAATAACGATAATAACGATGCTTATCTATAGTCAGCTATTAATACAGCTGGATGTAGCATTGTTTTCTTTATAGTTAGCAAATTGGTGTCACTCCCCTAATGTCGGAATCTTCAATTTAAAATACTTTAAAGACTTTTTAATTAATTAATCATTAATTGAACTGGTAAAATTATTTTTCTTCTATTTATTTGGCAATTTTTTTGTCAGGTGTCACCCTCCTAAATGGTGTCCACACCCCCACCCTTTGCCTTGCGACGCCTCTTGGTGTAGGCCTAGTCCTGCAAACCCTGCTTTATAAATTGCCTGTGGACAACCCTGCTTTATAAATTGCCTGTGGACAACCCTGCTTTATAAATTGCCTGTGGACAACCCTGCTTTATAAATTGCCTGTGGACAACCCTGCTTTATAAATTGCCTGTGGACAACCCTGCTTTATAAATTGCCTGTGGACAACCCTACTTTATAAATTGCCTGTGGACAACCCTGCTTTATAAATTGCCTGTGGACAACCCTGCTTTATAAATTGCCTGTGGACAACCCTGCTTTATAAATTGCCTGTGGACAACCCTACTTTATAAATTGCCTGTGGACAACCCTGCTTTATAAATTGCCTGTGGACAACCCTGCTTTATAAATTGCCTGTGGACAACCCTGCTTTATAAATTGCCTGTGGACAACCCTGCTTTATAAATTGCCTGTGGACAACCCTGCTTTATAAATTGCCTGTGGACAACCCTGCTTTATAAATTGCCTGTGGACAACCCTGCTTTATAAATTGCCTGTGGACAACCCTACTTTATAAATTGCCTGTGGACAACCCTTCGCTGTTGTCAAAGCGTGGGCCAATCATCTATGGTCGAAAAAACTTCGGTCAACAGCATCTGTGTATAAAATTTATATGAATGATCGGAAAATCATTTTATGTTTCTATGCACTTTAGAAAGAGCGGTGGCATTTTAAAATTAAAATATACAGGAATGAGAATCAAATATATGTGTCTATGTATACACACATTTAAAAGACTTTTAGTAGAAGTGGAGGTTGGACAAAATGGTTACTTTTATGCAAATAGTGGTCATACAATTATTTGTTCAGAGCCAATATGGCGGAAGCGATTTTGTCTGGAACCAATATGTCAGGAGCTGATTTGTTGGGACTCAATATGTCACGAGTCAATATGACGGGAACCATTTTGACGGGGATATTTTGATTGGGTCGTTTTGTCTGGGGTCGATTAGATGGGGCTGTTTTGACCGTGAACCAGTTAAACAAGAAGTTCAGAAATTCTTAACGTACATAATACTTAAATAGAAGCTAAATATAAATCACTTGAAAACAAAATTAGCACATTGCTTATTCGTTTAACTTAAGCCTCAAAAAGAACTATAACTATGCAATATATGCGGTCTATTTTTAAAATAGAAAAAAAAAATGTTCCTTTCAATAAAAAAAATTGTTCCTTTCAATTCTTTTTAGCAAATATTTGTTATATAAGACGTATCATCGAAAATTGGATATCAGCGCTTTTATTTTTGTTTCCATTGAAAGTATCTTATTTAGCAATTTTATTTAATTAGTTACATCATCTCTCAAATGTATATATTTAACTTATTTTTGTAATGAAACAAAAATGTAAGAGCAAACATATTTTTCCCTAGCTTTGTGATCTGCATGTTTACAAAGTTCCAAGCGAATTATGGCGGGAAACGTTCAACAATATTCTAAACAATGTCGTCACAGAGACGGTGTCAGTGGGGATTATCAGGTGAGTTCTCTACTATGCAGGCATCATACGATTGCATTTACACACACACACATATATATATATATATATATATATATATATATATATATATATATATATATATATATATATATATATATATATATATATACACTAGCCGTCCCAGCCAGGCCCTGTACTGGACTCAGTGAAAAACCTATCACTATATGTAAAGGACTGTGATTTGTATGTTTATTAAGCAGCATATACCCCCGGCACTGCCAGGGTTTTGGAAATATATTCATCTTCCAATTAAATTTCTATATACAAGTATGGACTCATAACCATAAACCTAACTGTAAACTTAACCCTAACCACAACCAACCACAATCAAAACTAAAACACAAACAGAAGTGGCAACACAAACTACCCTCCACACATACCTACCCTCACTACCTTCCACACATACCTACCCTCACTATCTTCCACACATACCTACCCTCACTACCTTTCCCACATACCTACCCTCACTACCTTCCACACATACCTACCCTCACTATCTTCCACACATACCTACCCTCACTACCTTTCCCACATACCTACCCTCACTACCTTTCCCACATACCTACCCTCACTACCTTCCACACATACCTACCCTCACTACCTTCCACACATACCTACCCTCACTACCTTCCACACATACCTACCCTCACTACCTTTCCCACATACCTACCCTCACTACCTTTCACCACACAAGTCATCCCCTGGAAATCGACCTCTCACTCCAAACACAAAGGCTGGGTAAAATCTTTAAATTTTTGGTGTTGAAATAGCCACCTCCAATGGCAGTTCTAAATCTGTAGTTCTAAAAGTTTGGCTATTTGGTTTCTGAGATCTTTAGTTCTAAAAGTTTGGCTATTTGGTTTCTGAATTCTTTAGTTCTAAAAGTTTGGCTATTTGGTTTCTGGGATCTGTAGTTCTAAAAGTTTGGCTATTTGGTTTCTGGGATCTGTAGTTCTAAAAGTTTGGCTATTTGGTTTCTGGGATCTGTAGTTCTAAAAGTTTGGCTATTTGGTTTCTGGGATCTGTAGTTCTAAAAGTTTGGCTATTTGGTTTCTGGGATCTGTAGTTCTAAAAGTTTGGCTATTTGGTTTCTGAGATCTTTAGTTCTAAAAGTTTGGCTATTTGGTTTCTGGGATCTGTAGTTCTAAAAGTTTGGCTATTTGGTTTCTGGGATCTGTAGTTCTAAAAGTTTGGCTATTTGGTTTCTGGGATCTGTAGTTCTAAAAGTTTGGCTATTTGGTTTCTGGGATTTGTAGTTCTAAAAGTTTGGCTATTTGGTTTCTGGGATCTGTAGTTCTAAAAGTTTGGCTATTTGGTTTCTGGGATAGGAGTTCTAATAGTTCAAATGCAGGAATTTAACACTTACTGCAGGAATTTAACACTTACTGCAGGAATTTAACACTTACTTGTAATTGTGTTAAGGGGGAGTGCTGGAGTGCTGTTAAAATGTAATCAAATGCACAATAAAATAGCATAGAACTGTATTGCGCACACATATCAGATTTAACAATATAATCCAGACCACTAGTGATCAAGTGAAATTCCAATAGCTCAACCAATACATTAGAAAGTAACTCTTCCATTGACTTGATCTAACCTAGGGTTCCTGGAGACCTACGGCTTGTAGACATTCGAGAAGAAATTGTTCAACAGCTCCAGTTGGATGAGCTCGTCCCTTATGTTTTCCTGAGGAGTGTTGGCAGAAGTCTTACAAGGGTAAGTCTTACAAGGGTAAGTCTTACAAGGGTAAGTCTTACAAGGGTAAGTTTTACAAGGGTAAGTTTTACAGGGGTAAGTTTTACAGGGGTAAGTTTTACAAGGGTAAGTTTTACAAGGGTAAATTTTACAAGGGTAAGTTTTACATGGGTAAGTTTTACAAGGGTAAGTTTTCTTTACAAGATCCTTTGACTAGCCTTTTGTTGTAGATTTTATCCTCTGTCTAGCATTTGTTTCAATAAATTTTTTCCTCTGTCTAACATTTGTTTCAATTAATTTTTTCCTCTGTCTAGCATTTTTGTCTAGCATTTTGTTGAAGTTCATTATAAAAAAGTATCCACTGTTCTACCCCACCCCCTCTCACAAACCAATCACAATTTGAACCAAAGAGAACTTCACTAGGGTGCTGTATTTTATTGTTTTATTTATCAACTATTTTCATGAAACTTATAGTCCTACCTTTCAAAATATTTGTCATTAATTGTGTTGATTAGGATAGGCTTAATTTCACAAATGGTTAGTATTTAGTTTGAAATGGGATTTGATTTCCCTTGATACATGCTGTTATTTCACCATGGGGTAACAACCAGACTTCATTCAATGTTTCATGTCATATGCCACCCTACTCATGTCATATGCCACCCTCTACATTCTACCCACCTTTCTTTTTTTCAGCTAAGAACCAAACAGGAATATCAGTTAAAGGCCAAACATTTTATTCCACCAGTAGTAAGTTTTTTTGTCTTATTGTAACTTAGCTGAAAAGTTCACACAACCGCAATGGGTGCTTCCTCTGTTTCGGTTTGATCATTGAATGTAGTGGCCCATTGTGTTCCTATTTTAGGGTGCTCTTTAAAACTTGTATGAGTGCCATAGTGCTCACATTCCCCAGTTGACCATAACGCCTGATTTGATTTAGCTAACAATTATAGTAGCCCATTGTATCCATAGTGTATCTTTAAAGTATTTGGGAGCCAGGGGCACCATGTGGGAGCCCGGGGCACCATGTGGGAGCCAGGGGCACCATGTGGGAGCCCGGGGCACCATGTGGGAGCCAGGGGCACCATGTGGGAGCCAGGGGCACCATGTGGGAGCCAGGGGCACTATGTGGGAGCCCGGGGCACCATGTGGGAGCCAGGGGCACCATGTGGGATCCAGGGGCACCATGTGGGAGCCAGGGGCACCATGTGGGAGCCAGGGGCACTATGTGGGAGCCCGGGGCACCAAATCGCCTCCTGCTGGGGCTCAGGACGACACATCAATTTATTCATGGATTATGGTAGCCCACAGCATCCTTAGTACGTAGCCTTTTTAAAAGGAATGTAAATGCAGGCAGATGCACTTGGAACAGTTTTACTGTTGAATCCACTAATACAACTAACCCTGACACTAACCCTGACACTAACCCTGACACTAACACCCGATGCAGTATCCCCAATCAATGGTCACCGAAACCTAAGATGGGAACTCGGTGCTTCCAAGTTTTTATTGATACCAAATATTTTTAGATTCAGTGTGACCTTACAGGATTTGGTAAACATTCTGGATTGATTTTAATAATTAGTGGTATCCTTGCAGCTCCTATGCTTATAGTAAATATTTCAAAGGTCTAATTTATGATTTAATGAAGCTCATTACACTTAAGTGTCAATTATATCCTCTGGTGTAAAGAAAATAAATTCTATGATAGTATTCATCATATCAAGCCTTTGAGGGTGGAGTATATATTCCCAGGAGGGATGACAGGCAAACCTAACCTACTTTTGAAATGAACAAACTTTGTATGATTCTTAGGCCTATGCTCCTGAATTAATGAACAAACTTTGTATGATTCTTAGGCCTATGCTCCTGAATTAATGAACAAACTTTGTATGATTCTTAGGCCTATGCTCCTGAATTAATGAACAAACTTTGTATGATTCTTAGGCCTATGCTCCTGAATTAATGAACAAACTTTGTATGATTCTTAGGCCTATGCTCCTGAATTAATGAACAAACTTTGTATGATTCTTAGGCCTATGCTCCTGAATTAATGAACAAACTTTGTATGATTCTTAGGCCTATGCTCCTGAATTAATGAACAAACTTTGTATGATTCTTAGGCCTATGCTCCTGAATTATATATTCTTGAAACAACACAAGAGATAAGAGAAGCAATTGCCAGCAGTGAAAGGTCCTCTCAGTCTCCTCCACTCTCCAGAAGGACATCTCCAACTCATAGAAATTATGCTTTGTTTAGAAATGGTAAGTTTTGCCGCCAACTCATAGAAATTATGCTTTGTTTAGAAATGGTAAGTTTTGCCGCCAACTCATAGAAATTATGCTTTGTTTAGAAATGGTAAGTTTTGCCGCCAACTCATAGAAATTATGCTTTGTTTAGAAATGGTAAGTTTTGCCGCCAACTCATAGAAATTATGCTTTGTTTAGAAATGGTAAGTTTTGCCGCCAACTCATAGAAATGATGCTTTGTTTAGAAATGGTAAGTTTTGCCTCCAACTCATAGAAATTATGCTTTGTTTAGAAATGGTAAGTTTTGCCGCCAACTCATAGAAATGATGCTTTGTTTAGAAATGGTAAGTTTTGCCGCCAACTCATAGAAATTATGCTTTGTTTAGAAATGGTAAGTTTTGCCGCCAACTCATAGAAATTATGCTTTGTTTAGAAATGGTAAGTTTTGCCTCCAACTCATAGAAATTATGCTTTGTTTAGAAATGGTAAGTTTTGCCGCTCTTTCTCATTTTGACAAAAAATGTGATTTAGTTTGACCCTAGAACTTGTTGAACTTGTATTTAGATTATTAAATAATTTTTTTTTAAATAAGTAGGCTTCAGACCCTCCTATGTACAAATAAAATGGTTTGTTTTTATACCTTTTGGGTCTATAACTTGCCAGAACCATATCACTTACCCTAAACTCTCACTTACCCTAACCCTATCCCTTACCCTACCACTTACCTTAACCCAAACCCCAAAATTCACCCTGATCCGGAAAACTGTGTTTAATCAAGCATAAAAAATTCTAAGGAAAGACAACTCACCTCCACTAATGTCATTAGGGGTCGTCCATAAATGACGTCACACTCGTAGGGGGGAAAGGGGGGGCGTAACTTTGTGACGGTGTGTGATGAGGGGGAGGGGGGGGGGGGGGGGTTCAGATGATGGGACGTCACATTTTTGCATTAACAAAAAGTAATGTTAGAAAACCAATTTTAGCAGTTATTTCGCATTTTAGAAAACTGTTTTAATAAATTGTAATATGAATTGATCAAAATACTCTATGTTGAGAGAGTTCAGACAAGATTTTGGAAAAAGATGGATGTTTTAAGAAAAATTAAACTGCAATTTTGAGGGGGGGGGGGGGGGAGGGGGGTTTTAGGCTGAGGTGTGACCTCATTTTAGGGGTGGGGGGTTTGGCTTTTTGTGACGATTTGCGACGGAGGGGAGGGGGGGGGGAGGTAAAAATTGTCAAAAAAAGCGTGACACCATTTATGGATGACACCTTAATGTCACAATGTCATTAATGTCACAATGTCATTAATGTCACAATGTCATTAATGTCACAATGTCAATTTTTATTTTAGACACCTCTGTGGAGGGAATAAGGTGGGGGGATAAGTTAAACTTATATAGAATTATTTTTATTTATCTTTTCAATAATAAGCCTACAACTTTTAAAAAATCATAGGTCATTGGTCAATTTTAATGTGTTATTACATTACAACCAAGTGCAATAGGCCTACAGATGTGTTTATGATTTTTTTCACAACAGATATCAAACAGCGAAAGAGTTATGAATTAAACTATGGGCAAAAAGTAGTAAACAAAAGGCTAATTTTAGTAAACAAAGAGCTACAATCTAGTAAACAAAAAATAATATAATATTCTATAATGTTTCATTAGATACCCACACTTCATTATATAAAAAATGAACCACTATTTATAACTGCTAATCAAAACGATTAGCCACCCCAGCCCAAATTATGCAATAGATAGAGATTAGTTCATTAAACTTATATGCATAATCTTTGTATGCATATTTGTCATGTTATCATACATAACTTTCAGATGGGAACATTATTCATGTATCATTTTTTTCTGCACTGGCTAATGATAATTATCTTAAAATAATTAAATACAGTCAGTTCAATGAGAGAATCATCTGATACTAACATGTGGAATCTCATACTATTAATATTTGTATTTCAATTCATGGTGGAAAAGCCATCTAGAAATAACAAAGATAATTCTTGAAGAAATCTCTGGGTATGTCAGTTTTAATACAAATATCAGTTTGAAATATTTGTTTTTATTAAAAACACGTTTTTTTACATTTCCTTTATTGATCTTCACCACTGCATGCATGCATGTTGTGTCACCACTGTCTGCATGAATGTTGTGTCACCACTGCCTGTATGAATGTTGTGTCACCACTGCCTGTATGAATGTTGTGTCACCACTGCCTGCATGAATGTTGTGTCACCACTGTCTGTATGCATGTTTTGTCACCACTGCATGCATGAATGTTGTGTCACCACTGCCTGTATGAATGTTGTGCACCACTGTCTGCATGAATGTTGTGTCACCACTGTCTGCATGAATGTTGTGTCACCACTGTGTCACAACTGTCTGAATGAATGTTGTGTCACCACTGTCTGCATGAATGTTGTGTCACCACTGTCTGCATGAATGTTGTGTCACCACTGTATCACAACTGCCTGCATGATTGTTGTGTCACCACTGTCTGCATGAATGTTGTGTCACCACTGCCTGTCATTGTTTAATGCTTCTGACCTAACTACTGGACATAAACACACTGACCTAACTGCTGGGCATAAACACACTGACCTAACTACATAAACACATAACACATACATTTTTATTCCTGTGTTCAATATTGCACAGAACAGCATCAACTAGCACCCAACATAGTTCATAAAAGAGCACTCAGCGTAAACAGCACTTAATATAGCACTTTAATATATATTAAAGAAAACTAATAATTTTTATGTCTTTATTATATAGCAATAGGAAGACTTCTGGGTTACATGTGAACAGAGGCGTAGCGACCCTTCCCGGTGCCCGGGGACAAACTTTTCGATTTGCACCCCCCCCCCCCCCCCTTAAGATTTCGATTTGCAGCCCCCCTCAAACTTTCGATTTGCACCCCCCTCAACCTTTCAATTTATCTTTCCAACCCATTTCGGCGCCCAGAGACATATGTCCCCCCCTCCCGTCGCTACGCTACTGCGTGTGAAAGACAGTAACATCATACTGCATTTTCGACGACTTTTTTTTCTTTTTAAAATCATTGCTTCTCAATATATCAACAGATAAAATCTTAAAATTGACCTCCAATGTAATTCAATAACATGCAGCCACTATGTGTAGATTCCAGTACTTATACTTTTTATTAGCTTATTTTTACAAGGTGTTATTAATTAATAAATGTTAAAAAAATATGTTTTTAGAAAAATAAATAACGTTTTTTAAAACATTTGATTCAAAGTATTTTGACCAGTTTTATAAAAATGAATACCATGATTTCAGTAACTTACAATTGAGCAGTTTATGCATCGTTTTATAACTATAAGCAATACAGTTTAAGTTTATTAACTTAGTATGAAGACTAAATGTAGTTTTTTTAAAAAAGGACATAAGTCTATGTTTTGTCATATGGCCCCTCGTATGTTTTGTCATATGTCCCTCCTATGTTTTGTCATATGTCCCTCCTATGTTTTGTCATATTGTCCCCTTATGTTTTGTCACATGTTTTTTAAAAAAGGACATAAGTCTATGTTTTGTCATATGTCCCTCCTATGTTTTGTCATATGTCCCTCCTATGTTTTGTCATATGTCCCTCCTATGTTTTGTCATATGTCCCTCGTATGTTTTGTCATATGTCCCTCCTATGTTTTGTCATATGTCCCTCGTATGTTTTGTCATATGTCCCCTTATGTTTTGTCACATGTCCTTCCTATGTTTTGTCATATGTCCCTCCTATGTTTTGACAAATTAACTGTCCTATCATCTGTATGCATGTGATACATTAATGACTCAAATCACAAATATCTTAGATCTGAAACAAAATTTATTCTCCTGTAAACTACTGAGTCCAACAAATGTTTTTTTCTTTGCTGCAGGCGATCAAGAAGATGCCCATATTTCTCCAGCCCACAGGTACCACCCCCTACCTAAAATAGACAAAAAGCCTGCAGCCTCCCCAGACCCGGACCCCAACCCTTACAACTCTGATGACTCTTCCTACAAGTACCATGACCCGTATGACCCATACACCCAACCCTCTCACCACACAGCGCAGCAACACCAAGAGAAAAATCCTGCCACTGAATGGGATGAGATGCCGGCACACACAAGAAAACAAGGGGCGCTTCATCTTTCACGCGCTCGCAACAGCTCCCCAACCAAACTTGTGAGAGCTGTGGACCGGGATGATGATTCTGATACTGCACACATTTCAAAAGATGAGAACTACAGAAAGTACAGGAGAGAAGACAATGATAACAGGATAAGGTAATTTTTTTTTTTAAACTATTCAATAGAGGCGAGCGAATTGACAAGAATCCTTCCATAATGTTGTTGACATGGAATAAAATCGTGCTTTTTTAGATTTAGCAAACAAAGCGACCGTAAAAATAATTTAAAAAATTAAAAAGTAAGCCTAAAATTAATTCAGAAATTTTATATTTTTAGAATTAATGCTAAAAAAGTTGCAAATACAGAGACCTTGAAAATAATTTGCTGAGTTTAAGGCTACATTTCTATTTATTTTCATCAAGCCTAAGTTATAACCGGATGTTTCACTCTCGTAAGACAAATATTATTGATCAAAAACTATTTGTTTACAAAACTTTGCAGATAAAGTTTAAAAAAAAAATGCAAATTTAAACCCCAAGACCTAGTTTTCCTTTTTTATCGCTTACAATGTGTACAATAAAATAAATAGAAATGTAGCCTTAAACTCAACAAATTATTTTCAAGTTCTCTGTATTTGCAACTTTTACAACATTGCTTCTAAAAATATAAAATATCTGATTTATTTTTAGGCTTAAGTTTTTATTTTTTATTATTTTTCTGGTCGCTTTGATTGCAAAATCTAAAAAAAGCACGTTTTTAACCCATGTCAACAATGTTGTAGTAGATTTGTACTTAGATAGGTAACACAACAGACGAGGAAGCCATGTTCTATGCACACCACGTTTTATTCTGAATCGGAAACAGGAAGCACATGCAAGGGACATCACTCAAAACATTATAAAATATAAGACTAATACAAGAAGAGTGAGTTCCCTTGAATTCACAAAGCTCAATATATTACATCCCTTTACCCTTAGTAAATAATAACATAGCTCTCAAGAGAGTGAATGATAGTATCTTTCAATTAACAACACTTCAAAAGTCAATACAAAACATTATATGATTTGAATCATTTGGTAGATTAAATCCTTACAAACAAACGCAAAATATGCTACAACATAATTGTCCTGTTTGACCTTCTCAGTGGCTTTTGATTTGGTGACTCAAGATTCTGACCATCTGGACTCTCTAGCTCAGGAAGTCCAGGATCTAAATCATTAATTCCAGAATTTACATTTTCTGACTCTAGACTACTTGGTTCACTCATATCAACAGAACTTGGTTGTGGAAAAACTGAGTTGGTGTGAACTGGTCAGATCTGGTGGGATTGATAGATTTACACTTATTATCTGCACAAGTTATTTTTAACTGGTCTGCGTGTCTACGGACAATAAGTCCATTATTTGTTTTTACTTTATAAGACACAGGTCCTGTACATTGAACAATTTGACCTGGCATCCATTTTTCCCCTCTCCCATAATTTCTCAGATACACATTATCATTAACCCCAAATTCTCTCTCAATGGATGTTTTGTCATGATTTACTTTTTGTGTATGTTGATGTTGGGAAACAGACCTTTGAACAGTTGGATGTAGTAGGTCAAGATGAGTTTTAATTTTCCTACCACATAGCAATTCACATGGTGCAACACCTGTTGTTATATGAGGAGTTGTGCGGTATTTGGCTAAGAACCTGTTTACTCTTTCTCTGAGAGAAAACTTGTTACCGGTACTCATTTTTACCATAGCGGTTTTGAATATGCCTACCGCTCTTTCAGCCAAACCATTCCCAGCAGGGTGATAAGGTGATGTGGTTATATGCTCAATACCATTTGCTACACAAAACAGTTTAAACTCATGAGCAGTGAAACTAGGCCCATTATCTGAAACAATTTGATCAGGTAATCCATGGGTTGAAAATATTTCCTTAAGTTCTATAATGGTATCACTTGCAGTGATTGTGTTCATGATTTTAACTTCTAACCACTTAGAATGTGAATCAATAACAATTAAGAACATTTTGTTCATGAAGGGTCCTGCGAAATCTATATGTATACGTTTCCATGGTTCGATTGGCCAGTCCCAGTTTTGCAAAGGTGCTGTAACTGGTTGCTTTGAATGTTGTGCACAGCTTGAACAAAGCTTTACATATTTTTCAATATCAGCATCCATATGTGGCCACCAGAACCACGATCGTGCAAGACTCTTCATTTTGGAAGAACCAAGATGAGTATCATGTAAAGTTCTTAAAACTTCTTTTTGTAACATTTTAGGGATAATAACCCTTGACCTCCATAGCACACATCCATTTTCTAGACTTAACTCTATTTTTCTTATTTTAGATGGCCTTAAATCATCATTCACTGACTCTTCAGGCCAACCATTCTTACAGTACTCATATACTTTTATCAAGCACTCATCTTTTTGTGTTTCTCTCTTAACATCATTCACATTTATATTGGAGTTATCCATGATAGTGAAAAGAACAAATACATCTTCTGGTACATAACTAAGGCTTTGGTTTTTTTAAAGGTAAACGACTAAGACTATCTGCACTATTCTCAGATCTAGGTTTGCATTTCAATTCATAATTGTATGCAGCTAGTGTGATAGCCCACCTTTGAACCCTTGGTGAGGCACGCTCAGGCAGGGGTTTGTTTTCCCCAAACAAACCCAGCAATGGCTTATGATCTGTAAAGATGGTGAACTCTCTACCAAACAGAAACTTGTGAAATTTCTTAACACCAAAAATGATGCCTAAGCCTTCCCTATCTAACTGAGAATAATTTTTGTCAGCCTGGTTCAAAGATCTACTGGCAAAAGCAATGGGTCTGTCACCATTTTCATCTATGTGGGATAAAACTGCTCCTACACCATCTGGTGAAGCATCACATGTTAAGATAAGTCTTTTCCCTGGGTCATAGTGATTTAGCAAGGTGTCAGAAGACAAAGCTTCTTTTGCTGCATTAAAAGCAGCATCTTGTTGTTTACCCCAGTGCCAAGTTGCATTTTTCTGCAGCAGCTTGTACAGTGGTGATAGTTTACCAGACAGATTCCCTATGAACTTCGCATAGTAATTTATCAAGCCCAAAAAAGCTCTTAGCTGTTGGGTATTTTCAGGTTTGGGTGCTTCTTTAATGGCTTTTGTTTTCTCAGGTTGAGGTCTGAGACCCTGCTTGCTCAAACTATAACCCAGAAAACTAATATCTGTCAGCATGAATTGACATTTATCTTTGTTTATCTTTAAACCCTTTTCACCAACTATTTTCAAGACTTTATCAAGTGTTTTAAGATATTCTGTGTCATTCTTACCAGTTATGTACACGTTGTCAAAGTAAACACAAACATTGGAATGTCCTGAAAAATACTGTCTATGACAGCCTGGAAAATTCCAGGGCTAGATGATATACCAAAGCAGTCTTTCATATTGGTAGAGTCCCTTATGTGTGTTTATTGTCGTATAGACTTTTGAATCTGGATGAAGTTCTAGTTGAGTGTAAGCATGACTGAAGTCTAATTCAGTGAATTTGTCTCCTCCTGCCAAATTCAAAGCAATTTCCTCAATGTTAGGAATAGGGTACCTATTTAGCTCTATTTGCTTATTCAGTGTAGCTTTATAGTCTCCACAAATTCTTACAGAACCATCCTTCTTTAACACTGGCACAATGGGCGTTACCCAATCGGAATAGTCTACCTTCTTTATGATGCCATTAGATTCCAATCTACTTAGCTCATTTTCAATTTTATCCCTCATTGCATAAGGTGGAACTCTAGCTTTGCAGTATCTTGGATTTGTGTCTTTAATGCTTATCTTCACTGTCCTATCATTTAGTAACCCTGAACTACCAAAGACACCTTCATTTTCAGATACAACTTTATCTATTGAAGTAAAACTAGATTCTCTTGCATTGTTCACTGAAAATATACTCCCCCAGTCTAACTTAATATCAACTAATCAGTTCCTACCTAGTAATGGTGGTCCGTTTCCTTCAACCACAAGAAGAGGAAGTTTAACACTTTGACCATTATAGCTTAAATGAACCATACACTCCTCTATCACCGGAACATTGTCACCTGTGTATGTTGTTAGGCACTTGTGACATGGTTGTAGAGGCACTGATCCTCCTGTGACAACGTCAAAGTCCTTCTTTGTGATGACGGTTAGAGATGCTCCCGTGTCAAGTTGGAAGATGATGCTCTTACCGTTGATACAAACTAGTACATTGATGGGAGCATGACTTGTTGATTTCACAGAGAACAGGTTGAACTCCGGCTGCGGATCAGTTTGAGCATTTTCACAGGTAGAGTGGTTCATTGGTTGGGTTAGGCTGTCTTGGTGACAGTTAACATAGTGCTGCCTTTGGTTGCGGTACTGTCCTGACTGGCTAGATCTAGCAACAGACGAAGACTTTGCAAAGCAGGCCTTGGCAATGTGACCTTGCTTACTGCACTAATAGCAAGTTGCTGACTTGAACTTGCATTGATGAGATGCATGGGGACCGTTGCATCGATACCATTTTTGATAATTATTACTAGATTTAGATCTAGGATTTGAACTTGCAGGCTGTTTAGCATAAGTTGAACTGCTCTGATGGGGTTGGTGTTTGTTGACTGACCTGCTGTCCACTGCATGGATCCCTGAAAGCGTTAGAGATCTTGCCGCATCGGATGACTGCTGGAATGAAGTTGCAAGTTGTATTGCTTTTTCCAATGTTAGATCTGACTCGAGAAGCAACTTTCTTTGAACATCAGGGCTATTTACACCTGTCACAAACTTTTCACATAGTCTGTCAGACAGCGTGTCGCCGAATTCACAGACGTAAAGCAGCAACATATTCTGATATTGATTCGTTTGGTTGACGAGTCCTACCGTCAAATCTGGCTCTACACAGGAACTTGGGTGGTGTGGGCGCATGGTGGTCTGTTAGCAGTTTGCTCAGCTCGTTAAAGCTCTTGGTAGCTGGACTAGCTGGTGCGCATAAGTCCTTTAATAGCCTAAATTGTTGAGGCCCTATGACTGTTAACAAAACAGCTCTCTTTTTGGCTTCTATCGTCACGTCGTTAGCTTCAAGGTAAAGCTTAACCTATCTAGATAATCATGAATGGTTTCTTCATTCGAATTAAATTTTTTTATCTGGCCATACAGCGCCATTATCCTGCAAATACTTAGCCAATATGCTCTAGCAAGCTTCTTCTTAAGTAAGCATGTGCTCTTTTTTAGTGGATGATCCCATCCTCGTCGCACAATGTAGTAGATTTGTACTTCGATAGGTAACACAACAGACGAGGAAGCCATGTTCTATGCACACCACATTTTATTCTGAATCGGAAACAGGAAGCACATGCAAGGGACATCACTCAAAACATTATAAAATATAAGACTAATACAAGAAGAGTGAGTTCCCTTGAATTCACAAAGCTCAATATATTACAAATGTTATGGAAGGATTCTCGTCAACTGATTCGCCTCCATTACTTTCCCTTTTTAATTGGTTTATCTTGGTTATCTTTTCTAGATAGGATAGTATGTCAGTCTTTAACTTTTGCTGTCTTGTCTAGGCCTGTGCAGTTTGACAGTCTGGAGGATGAAACAGAAGGAAGACTGGATCAACGAGACCAGTGGATGAGTGATCAGGTTTAGATTGATTTACTCCATGTCTTTCATACTTGTTCAGTGTATTGAGTGATCAGGTTTAGATTGATTTACTCCATGTCTTTCCTACTTGTTCAGTGTATTATTAAGTTCTTTATTCATTTTTTTATTCTTTTGTGTTGTGACAATGTTGCGTGATGCACTGCCTTTTTAAATCTAAATGTAATTTTTAAAATCAGTTTCCCTTTTGTCAGATGTTGTTTTAAACAATTTCCTTTTTGCCGCATTAGATGAGGAGAGAGATGGAAGAGAACAGGAGGATGGGAGAAAAAAGAGAAGAGGAAACTGAAGAAGAAAGACAGAGAAAAAAGTATGAAGAAGCTAGAAGACAAGAAGAAATGTTAGAGAGAATGAAAAGAGAAGAAGAAGAAAGAAAAAGAGAAGAAAAAGAAAGAAAAAGTGAAGAAGATAAAAGAAAAAGAGAAGAAAAAGAAAGAAAAAGAGAAGAAGAAGAAAGAAAAAGAGAAGAAGAAGAAAGAAAAAGAGAAGAAGAAGAAAGAAAAAGAGAAGAAGAAAGAAAAAGAGAAGAAAAAGAAAGAAAAAGAGAAGAAGATAAAAGAAAAAGAGAGCTTGAAGAAGAGGAAAGAAGGAAACATAATGAAGAGGCAGATAGAAGAAGAAAAGAAGAGGAAATAAAAAGAGATGAAGAAAAACTAAGAAAAGAAGAGGAAAATAGGAAAAATGAAGAAGAAAAAAGAAGGAAAGAAGAAAACAGAAGAAAACAAGAAGATGATGAAAGGAAACAAAAAGAAGACTTAAAGTTGGATGAAAGGGAAAATAAAATGGAACCAAAAAAAGTTAGTTTTAAACTTTAATTGACCCTACAAAAAACAACTTTGTCTACCTCATGCGTTTGGTACCCACTTACTCTTCAGGTACACATTTACAAAAAATCAATACACTACACACCACTTTGTACACATAATATACACCTATATCTGTAGACCACACACCTACCACATATACAACCTGCAACATATGACATACTATCAAAATATGTAATCTGTATTTGTCCCACTTAGTTTTTGACCTATCTGAATTTGAGATCTGTCTGTAGTTGGTTGCCCTAATCACTGCTTTATATTTTACTCATAACCAATTATTTTATTATCATTAATGTTGTGTTTTTACTTTCTCATATATACGAAGTATAGAGAAAGTATTGTAATCGTGCACAAAAATCACTAGAAATTTTAACAATTTTCACCTTATTACACCTCAGTCCTTCATCACATCCAAAGTATAGAGGACTTATTTTAATCGGGCAAAAATTATCAATCCAGATTTATCAAAATTAACAGGTTTTATGCGTAATCCAGTCTAAAAAAATGGGCTTTGCAATTCTGTCTGTATGTCTGTGTGTCTGTCTGTGTACCGTTACAGCTAGGTTGATGAAATTTCATATATAAGTATTTTATCAAAATGGTAGATCCTGATCAACTTTTGAGCGATTTCCGATAATCGGAAGTGGTACTTTTTCTACTTTGAATTTTTCAAAAGCCTATAACATGAGTACTATTTCAGATAGATAAATGAAATTTTACATGTAAGTAAAAGATCTAATTCTCTACCTTCAATTAATTAAATTTTGAGTAATTTCCGTTGGCCGGAAGTAGTAATTTACGCTACTTCCGATTTTTCAAAAAACTAATGTAAATTTTTAAAGGACTAATAATATTGCGCACTATTATGCACTTTTTTATTTGGCGTTCACTTGGTATGCAATTCTTTTGTCTACCAGATTTTATTCTATTTTTAAAACTTTAAGTATTTAAAATGGATAAAAAAATCATGTCTATAGCCCGAGTTCCCATCCCCTGTTATTTTATATAAGAATATTCGAGAAAGTTTAGGGGAGATCACTCCCGGTTTATTTGCTATTGATTTCTAGATGCTTACATAATGTTTAATAAAAAAATTCAAATTGATGTTTGGAGATGCGGTCTAGATCAAGAATAGCGGCCATCATAGAAATTATGAGATCAATTGTAGTGGCCAACATAAGATTAATTGTAATGGCCAACATAAGATCAATTGTAGTGGCCAGATTAATTGTAGTGGCCAGATCAATTGTAGTTGCCAGATTAATTGTAGTGGCCAGATCAATTGTAGTGGCCAGATTAATTGTAGTGGCCAGATCAATTGTAGTGGCCAACATAAGATCAATTGTAGTGGCCAGATTAATTGTAGTGGCCAGATCAATTGTAGTGGCCATATAAGATCAGGTGTAGTGGCCAACATAAGATCAATTGTAGTGGCCAGATTAATTGTAGTGGCCAGATTAATTGTAGTGGCCAGATCAATTGTAGTTGCCAGATTAATTGTAGTGGCCAGATCAATTGTAGTGGCCAGATTAATTGTAGTGGCCAGATCAATTGTAGTGGCCAACATAAGATCAATTGTAGTGGCCAGATTAATTGTAGTGGCCAGATCAATTGTAGTGGCCATATAAGATCAGGTGTAGTGGCCAACATAAGATCAATTGTAGTGGCCAGATTAATTGTAGTGGCCAGATTAATTGTAGTGGCCAGATCAATTGTAGTGGCCAGATCAATTGTAGTGGCCAGATCAATTGTAGTGGCCAGATTAATTGTAGTGGCCAGATCAATTGTAGTGGCCAGATTAATTGTAGTGGCCAGATTAATTGTAGTGGCCAGATCAATTGTAGTGGCCATATAAGATCAGGTGTAGTGGCCAACATAAGATCAATTGTAGTGGCCAGATTAATTGTAGTGGCCAGATTAATTGTAGTGGCCATATAAGATCAGTTGTAGTGGCCAACATAAAAACTATGATATTGATTGTGTATAGCAGAGCCAACCAACAGCCCCCACCCCATCCCTCTTAAACTCCCATTAAACTTTGGATTTCTTGAATGTTTAGTTTTAAAGCTAAGTATCTTCTGCATGTTAGAAAATGTAGTCATAGTCCTTTGTTTGCATATATTAACAAACCGATTTATTGCCTTAAAAAATTTGGTTAAAAACACTTTTTTTTATTGGTATTTTTTGTTTCATTTAAACTAATGGTTATTTTTTTTTTTTTGGCTTACAAAAAAAAACTACGTCTTAGAAGTCCCTGTTTTTTTTTCATTTTTGTTCTTTTTCCTCATTCTTAACTCTAGTATTGGAAGGGATCCCCTCCAACACAATTAAGTATATGTGTCAACTGGTTATGCGCCATTGAGGCCATTGACTCCGATTTCAGCCTGCTTTTCTTTTGTCCAAACAAGAACAAACTACAAGGCAGAAATTGTTTGACTCTGGAGTTGTCTCTTCTAGGAGAGTGGCTGTCCGCAGCTAACGAGCCTCATCTGCCTGGGGAATCAAACTTTTTAGCGACCTCTCCATTCAACATTTGCCTGACTTGGACGGCTATTTTTGCTAAGAAGCTTGACACACTTTTATTAAGCACTGTAAGATTACTCAATACCCTTTGGCAAAAAGCCCTTTAGCTTCTTCTTGCTGAAAAATTGAGTGATTGTACCCCATTTGCATAATTGTTTATTTTTGTTACCTAATGCGTCAAACTTTTTATTAACGTCTAAAAAAAAGTTTGTAATATACATTCATTTTAAAAAGAATCTTTTTTCTACATATTTCAAAATTCTCCGCATATTGCAGATCATCTAGAGAAATATACACCTGCTCAAACTATAAACTAAGTTGAGTTTTAGTAGCATAGAGGTTGATCTATTTCATATTAATAATCATTTGGGTTACTACACAATCCAATGACCATTCATTGATGATCTTAATCCATCTGGAAAAAAATATCAATTCTGATCAATGTGACAAAGAGTTGAAGGGGTGGGGGGGGGGGGCGAGGAAGTAAAACTTTTAATCTATGTAAGGTAAACATGTAGAGCAATGAAATAGCAATCGTTGCATGCAGTATTTTTTAAAGTCACATCTTACTTTGGAGATTAAACAATTTAATTGTAGACTTTTTTTGTTTATTGAAAGTCTTTACAGTGTAAATCAGTTGCAATTTTGATATCTATATATATAATCCTCTTCTGGGAGACGCTAGAAAACAAGCTGTAAGCGCGCCTTGCAGTCTCCTCTCTTCTTCAGTAGGCATAAATCATCCTCCCCCACCCCCACAAGGTCTGGTGAGCTGTGGTTCACGCTAAATGTTAACAATCATAGAGCAGGGTTTAGTGACTCCTATTAGGGGCAGATAATTTAGTTTAAAACTATTTTAAACTTAGGGAAGGTAATTAAGAGGAGGCTGCTTTCACGGGGGGGGGGGGGGGGTAGGGTAGGGGTTAGGGGAAATGAGGATGGAGGGGGATTATCGTCCTTAACGACTAACTGATAGTATTTTAAAGCAAATATTTTCAGTGGCAGCATTGGTACTGTCGAATTCACAAATTATGAATTACTGAAAAGTAGAAAATAAAACAACTAAATAGCGGCGTATGATACGCCGCAAGTCAGCTCGTATTGATTAATTCATAATTGTTAAAGTAATAATAGCAAAGAAAAAAGTCTACTGCAACCTGATTACAATTTGATGATGAAACACTATGGCTACTCAGTGTGCTTTATAAAATTTTTCTTTATAAACATATTTTTTATAAACATGTTCTTTATAATCTGACTTATATACACTTTCAAAAATAGAATTCAATATTTCAAAATTTGTTTGGCTTAGTCTAGTGTTGATGCTTGTTGCATCATTATATGTGCTTCATTTTCCATTGGCTTTTCTACCCAATGTTTTCTTCAGTGAACCAGGTTCACACTTTTCTACCCACTGTTTTCTTCAGTGAACCAGGTTAACACTTTTCTACCCACTGTTTTCTTCAGTGAACCAGGTTAACACTTTTCTACCCACTGTTTTCTTCAGTGAACCAGGTTAACACTTTTCTACCCAATGTTTTCTTCAGTGAACCAGGTTAACACTTTTCTACCCACTGTTTTCTTCAGTGAACCAGGTTAACACTTTTCTACCCAATGTTTTCTTCAGTGAACCAGGTTCACACTTTTCTACCCAATGTTTTCTTCAGTGAACCAGGTTCACACTTTTCTACCCAATGTTTTCTTCAGTGAACCAGGTTCACACTTTTCTACCAGATAGATTATGCTCAACTTAATTACTTAGCAATGTTTTTTTTTTCATTTTAGGATTTGACAACCTCATCACCAACAGTCAGAGATACAGAGTCAGCAAAACAAAAACGTAGAAATGAAAGTAGGTCAATTTTCAGCTAATCTACAAAGGGGAAGGGATGAGAAACCAATAAAATAAGGGTTATCAAGGTCATATAAAGGTCCAGAAGGTCATATAAATAAAGGTCCAGAAGATCGTATATTTGTTTAGAATTTTGGCTTCTACTGCTTCCCCATTTACTCCACTGCCCCCTCCCCCATGTACTACTCTACTCCCCCTCCCCTAAAGACTCCATTCCTCCCCCTCCCCATTTACTCCACTGCTCCCCCTCCCCATTTACTCCAAGGTCAGTGCACATTTCTGTCACTTTTTCAAGGTCAGTGCTCCTGTCTGCCATTTTGGAAGTTGAATGCAGAGAACCAGCCTTGTTGTAGTGCTGTTGTTTAAGGGAGTGATGATGTGGTTAAAATAAATTTCTCAGAGAACCAGCCTTGTTGTAGTGCTGTTGTTTAAGGGAGTGATGATGTGGTTAAAATAAATTTCTCAGAGAACCAGCCTTGTTGTAGTGCTGTTGTTTAAGGGAGTGATGATGTGGTTAAAATAAATTTCTCAGAGAACCAGCTGCTGAAAGACATTGAGGAGGCCAGGGTGTCCCGACAGGAGCAGGAGCGGGAGAGGGAGGAGCTGGTGAAGAAAGCCAAACAGCTGCAGCACAAGACAACCAACAGGAGAAATGAAGGTAGATACGACTACATTCTCTCTTCATAACTCCCACAACTACATTCTATGGCACTACATTGCAACATCTTTCAAATTATTTGATTCTCATTATGATGACAATAATGGATGACACCTAAGATTAACACACACAAATATTTTGATCCATATTTATCTTTATGTGAGGAAAAATAAACCACAATATTTTGAAATATCAGAAAAAACGCAGTAATAATTTCTAAAACTGAATGCTATTTATAGGATCCCAACACTAAAAATAATAGCCATGAATTAATAAATTGCTTATGGCAAAATGATAGACAAATATTTTGCTGTAAGGTGTAAAATGATAGACAAATATTTGACCACTGCCTCAGTGGCCTTGTTGGTGGGGTCACCCACTGAGGTCAGGTGGAGGTCATCCAGTTGTGAAAAGTTTGAAAGTCTGGTAGAAGTAATTTTTTTTTTTTTTTAGAAATTGGAAACTGTTAAGTACCACATTCGGTCACTGTAAATCACTCAAAATTTGCTTAATCACAAGAATAAGATCTTATAACTATGTATAAAATTTGACGTAAACAAAAAAATAAGATCTTATAACTGTATAAAATTAGGTCCACCCAAGTTAAAAGGCTCTCATGAAGTCAAGCACCACTTTGGGTTATTGGTGGTCACTCAAAAATTGAAAGTAACCAAAGTAAAAGATCTTATCCTTGTACATGAAATCTCATCTACCTAACTGAAACAGTACTCAAGTTATCAAAATCACACAGACATAAAGTACAACTTTCAATACTGGAAATCATTCAAAAGTTGATAGAAACCTGTGCATACAATGTTATACTTAAATTTGGAATTTCGTCCACCTAATTGAAATGGTAGGCTACTCAAGTTATAGGCTTTTGAGAAACTGGAAGTAGATTTAAGTACAATGTCCGGTTCCCAGAAATATCGCAAACGTTGATAGAAAACTACAAATTTGATCTTATCCTCCTTACCTGCCCAGGACAGTCACCAGTTGTTTTTAAAATGCTATTCAGCTTTTGTGATTCCAAAATAACAATTATTCTTATCCTTAGAATTTAATTTATGAATTATTCTTTTTTAGATTTTCAACAATGAATATTTTTTTAATGTTTTGGCCTAATATTTTAATTTAATTTGTTTATTTATCATTCAATAAATAAATACAACGAATATTTTTTAATGTTTTGGCCTAATATTTTAATTTAATTTGTTTATTTATCATTCAATAAATAAATACAACGAATATTTTTTAATGTTTTGGCCTAATATTTTAATTTAATTTGTTTATTTATCATTCGACTATTTTTTTATGTTTTGGCCTAATATTTTAATTTAATTTGTTTATTTATCATTCGACTATTTTTTAATGTTTTGGCCTAATATTTTAATTTAATTTGTTTATTTATCATTCAATAAATAAATACAACGAATATTTTTTAATGTTTTGGCCTAATATTTTAATTTAATTTGTTTATTTATCATTCGACTATTTTTTAATGTTTTGGCCTAATATTTTAATTTAATTTGTTTATTTATCATTCGACTATTTTTTAATGTTTTGGCCTAATATTTTAATTTAATTTGTTTATTTGTCATTCGACTATTTTTTAATGTTTTGGCCTAATATTTTAATTTAATTTGTTTATTTATCATTCGACTATTTTTTAATGTTTTGGCCTAATATTTTAATTTAATTTGTTTATTTATCATTCGACTATTTTTTAATGTTTTGGCCTAATATTTTAATTTAATTTGTTTATTTATCATTCGACTACAATAAATCTAGCTCGAGATATGTGGAAAAAAAAATATTTTGAAGAGAAAAAGAAAACGGCGCCATTAGAAGAAAACAGCAATCGTCTGCACCAGGAGCTGGAGGCCCTGCACAGGAAGTTGATGAACACGCTGGAGGGACCCAAGGACAAGAACCCTAAAATCATTGATGCCCAACCCTCTCCTAAGGTTGTTGAGCCCAGTTTTAGTGTTCAAACATTCTTGCTGTAAATCTTCAACATCATTATCTTTACCATCAACCACACTTCAACCATTACTGTCACAACCACCAACACAACCACAGACACCTTTACAACAGAGCTAAAGATTCCTTATCATAGGTGAGCTAAAGATTCAATCTTAAAAACCTTTAGCTCCATTTTTTAGGGTGAATCTGTGCTTATATTGAGCTCTTCTTTCTACCTGTCTTTGTGCCGAGGCATGTGTCCCCCCCCCCCCCCCCACCACCCTTTTGCTATTTCATTCTACCCTAAACTAAAAGAAGCAGGTCATTGACAATTTTTTCCCCCCAAAACTTTCAGAACGGCCAGGTAACTAATACTAAAATGTTTCGTTGTTCTGTGCCTTCTTCTGTTTCTTTGAAAAGTATTTTAAAAGTAACATCACAAAATGTGAAATGTATTTTTGTTGTTTTATTGAGTGACTTCTGTTGTGCCACCTTCTACATTTCAATGTTTTCATTTCACACTGGTCAACTTTTTGGTCATTTCACACTGGTCAACTTTTTGGTCATTTCACACTGGTCAACTTTTTGGTCATTTCACACTGGTCAACTTTTTGGTCATTTCACACTGGTCAACTTTTTTTTCATTTCACACTGGTCAACTTTTTGGTCATTTCACACTGGTCAACTTTTTGATCATTTAACACTGGTCAACTTTTTGGTCATTTCACACTGGTCAACTTTTTGATCATTTCACACTGGTCAACTTTTTGGTCATTTCACACTGGTCAACTTTTTGATCATTTCACACTGGTCAACTTTTTGATCATTTAACACTGGTCAACTTTTTGGTCATTTCACACTGGTCAACTTTTTGGTCATTTCACACTGGTCAACTTTTTGATCATTTAACACTGGTCAACTTTTTGGTCATTTCCCACTGGTCAGTTTTTTGGTTTCTCTAATTTCTCTTATTATTTAAATCTGAAATTCCTGACAAGCTTTAGAATTTCTAACACAAATCAACTTGAATTTTTTTCAATTGGCGTTTGATATCTTTATGTGTTAGACAGTTTGGCTTTTTTTTTGGACTGCTAATGCCACTTGAGCTACTTCAAAAACCTTTTGTCAATTTTATTTGATAGTAGAGGAGAAGTTGTTTACTTTAACAAAAAAGCTTTCAAATAAACAATAGTAAAATGCAGGTAAAATCAGGAAATGTTAGAGGAGACAAATCAAATAGTAAAAACAGACATGGTATAAAGGAAAGCTAATCATTCAGTTAATCAAATGCAGTTACAACAGTTCATTTGTTTGTATGTGTGAGTGTAAAGTTTTAAGAAAAATATCAACATCTAATTTTGTGTTACAACATTTAATTTTGTGTTCCAGAACAATTATGTCATCCAGTGCACAAAGCTCCAACATGAAATAGAAGACTTGCAGAGACGTGTTGAAAATGCAAGAATGAAGCTAACAGCAGAAATGAAGGTAAACAACAGTTTATTATTTAAGCCGCAAAGCTTTCACTGGAACTAAGTTTTCATGTGCATTTGCCTAATGTCCTCATGTTTTGCCTAATTTCCTCATGTTTTGCCTGATGTCCTCATGTTTTGCTTTTGGTGCTTTCATTACCAAACACTTCTGACCACTTTGGACATTTAAATTTAGGCAGATAATTTTTAAAGACTTGAGTTAACATTTCTAAATTTTGCATTAAATAGTCGAGTTTTATCAACTTCGCTAGGTTCAGAGCATACACTATTAGATGATTAAAATTTGATTTTAAACTTTGTGACAACAATTTTTAAATCTATCACATAGTTTAGTAATTTCACAGTCAGTGTTGTGTAGTTGTGTAAATCAACATAATCTAAGCACTCTTAACTCTATCAATGTATTAGATCACTAGTAAGTTAAAAATGTTCACTAATGCTTTGTTTTGTCATTGTGTGTACTTTAATTTTTTTTTTGTAAGATCCTTCAACTATGTATCAGCTTCTGCTTTTAAAGTCTTAGTGTGATGTTACATGTTAGTTCAACCAAACTATTCCACAAGAAAAGCTTAAAATGTACTATAGGAAATGCTTAAAACTAAGATCTAGTGGAGATTTAAAAGTTAGATCAAATTATTCCACAGGACAAATTTAAAATCTAGTTTAGATTTAAAAGTTAAACCAAACTATTCCACAGGAAATGCTTAAAAAGTAGTTGAGATTTTAAGTGTCGACTAATTTCTCTATGACTAGGAAGGTTATTTACAATGAATTGTGTGATACCAATGGCAGTTTGTTTTGTTTCTCTGCCAGGTAAACATTTTTATAAAAGTTGAGAGGCCTCCTGCCTTGCCTGAAACCCTGTCTAGAGGTACAGTTTAGCCAACTGATGCTAGTTTTATCAAAACTTCTTCCCATTTTCTGCTCATATTTATTGTCAATTAATGAATCTTAGCTCTAGGCTAACCATGTTCCGAGTCCATTCCAATCATACAGTTACATAAATTAATAAAATGTTGCATCTATTCCCGTCTAATGTCTATAAGTGTGTGTGTATCAGTCTAATGTCTATAAGCGTGTGTGTGTATATATTTTTAAAGATCTATTTCCCTGTGGACTACGTATTTTGTACTGATCATTACATGTCTGTGAAAGCTGCAGTTGGTGTCACCCCCTCCCATTTTGCCTAATGGCATTAATTCGTGCACATGTTATATTAATCCACTATTAATTCAAGTGGAAAAACGAACATTATGGGGTGTCACCCTAACCATGCTCATTGATTGACTTATCAGTTATTGAAAATATTCAACACAATTTTGTACTTGGATTCACCCCCCCCCCCAGGTGATAACTTTAAACTGTGTACTTAACAGTAATGATGTTCTCCTACATTGAGTTAATAAAACAACTAGAAGTAGCATTCTTGTCTTTACATCATGGTGTGTTGTCCCTCCCCCCCCCCCCCATTTTCACAGGATTATTTATCTATTTCACTTTAATCAACCATTCATTGAACTGGCAAAAATATTTTCGATTTTTTGCCTTGGCATCATCCCCTAAATGGTGTCATCCGGAGTGGTCCATACCCCTTGCGACACCTCTTTGTATGTCTACAACACAATATATGTGTGATTTCCTTGATACAATACAGTAAGATATATTAGGTTTCTCCTTTGTTTGATAGAAAATGTCATCATTTGTTTCATTTAAACTAATCAATAATTTTTTTAAAACAAATAGAAAATGTCATTATTTGTTTCATTTAAACTAATCAATAATTTTTTAAAACAAATTGTTAATTTTTTAAAAACAATAGCTTAACTAGACTTCTTCATTCATACAATAAAATTTTACATCGGTCACAATTGTCTTATAATACTTAGATACTATTCTTGCTATCACCAATGTAGAAATGTCCAAAGACAATTTTGCTGGTTCTGATTTGGCTTGTGTATTACTGTATCAACTATTTTTTTGCTGCAAGTTTGAACTGTTGATGTTATTGCACTGAATTTTGCCCATACCCTCATGCACTGTGTATCTGCTTACTGTTCATTTCTGTATACATGCTGCAGTACATGTATATTTTAAGCAGTATCAATTAATTTACAAAGGCAGAACTTAATTAATTCACTTTCTGTTAATAAGCACCTTGATGTGCCAAATAAATTTTGAAGAAAACACCTATTTTATTTACATGACTTATATAATTGCTATAAAAAATAAAAAACTTTACTGCTTACAATATGTTTTTAAAAATTGACTTATTACATTCTAGTCAATTTATAAAAATGGTTCATATATTTTCAGCATGACATATTTAATTTACTTAATGCTTATCTACATATTGCCATGTAAACTTTTTAAAAATTCAGCATCTGATTGTTTAATACTATTCACTAATTTGGCTGTGTAACATAAGGAAATATGTGAGGACTTTGCCTGTTTTTAATGTTTGTATTACCTGCATGTAACGTTTGTATCACCTCCTGAATGTTATCACCTGCTTGTGCTGGTATCAAATTGCTCCATAACTGACATCTAATCTTTTCTCATGTTTTTGGGGTTCAACTAAAGAATGACTAACTCAACTAACTGATCATTGAATTTAAAAAACACAATTGAAAAAACAAAACCGACAGAGATTGTACATTTTATTTTAAAAAAAAAAAAACAACAACCAAAAGTGAACATAAAAATGTTTACACTAAGTGTAAAATGAAGTCATAATTCTGGTGGGGGGGGGTCTTTCTGATTATTTGTGATAAAAGAAAAGTGTGTTTGTTAGATGGGGGGGGGGGGTTGTTGTTAGAATGTGTGGTATCACATACTCGCATTGAAGAGTTTTTTAGAAATAAAAAAGAACATTTTTAATGTTTACTGGTTTTAGTTTATATTTTAAACTTGATTATTTAGTGATTTCAGTTTATATTTTAAACTTAATGTTGAGTGACTTCAGTTTATATTTTAAACACAATGTTTAGTAATTTCTGTTTATATTTTAAACTTAATGTTTAGTGATTTCAGCTTATATTTTAAACTTGATTTTTAGTTATTTCAGTATATATTTTACCCCCCCCCCCCCCCCCCCCCCCCCACCCAACTTCCATTTTTATAACTAGGCAAAAAACTTTTCTTAAATTCAATACCAAACAAGTATACTAGCGTTGATATAGCACAAAATAAAACTCACAAAATTTTCAAATTTACCAAGAATTTTACTAGATTCACCCCTAATTTATAACATAATTACAATAAATATAATGTAATTATTAAGAAAATGTAAAAAAGAAACTGTTAGATGTCAGGGTAGTGGAATAAAAACTAACCAGCACTGGACACCTTGATATCAAAAAATTCAGTTTTCAAAAATAAGAGCTAAATGTTAAAGCTATAAAAAAATTTATGCTTAAAATTTTTAAAAAAATTTGTTGATTATCAAAATATCAAAATCAAATTTATCATAAATTTCAACTTAGTAATATATAATAATAACATTTTTCGGGCAAACAGCTTTCAGGCAATGGCTTTTGGGGATTAGTACATTCTGGCATTTGTCCATTCAGGAAAACAGCTTTTGGGCAAGTGTCCTTCGGTTTCCCATATATGTGCATACAAACATAAATAAATACACACATGAACACTCACATAATTATAGACACATCCAGTTATAGATATACATATATATATATATATATATATATATATATATATATATATATATATATATAAGCTGTACTGGCCAGGCCCTGGAATTAGAGATTAACTAAATGTCAAGGACTGTGCTAAAAAATATATGCAAACATAAACTTAAATGCAGCATACATAAACACAAAAATTAACTCAAACAATAACCCAAATGGAAATGTAAAAGCTAACGACGCAATCATTAACTTTAATGCAAAAAATAAATGCAACCACAATGTTGGACATTTAGGAACAACTTCAAAACTATTATTGATAAAAACAATAACTAGTAAACCGTACATTTAGAGCAGGGGTCTCCAAACTACGGCCCGCGGGCCGCATCCGGCCCACGGAGATCTTTTTGTCCACAGAAAAAAACGTTTGATGGTGATGGCTGAGGAATTTTTGCCCAGAAAAACCAAAGACATGCCTGGAAGAAACTGGCCCCCGAAGTGAAATTTGATAGTTAATGCTGCCCTCGGACTGAAAAGTTTGGAGACCCCTGATTTAGAGTATAAAATAGTTTGAAGGTAGTTTTTAAAATACCCTTTTTTTTACCTACCACATTGCACTTTACCAATCCATGCAAATTCTAAAATTTTTTATCCTGATTAAGGGAAGTAATGGATCAGAAAAAGGGATGTAATTAATTTTATATAATTAATGTTATATAATATATATATATATGTAAAATGTATGTTTGTGTAATTCATGGTTATAGTAAAAAACTCAACTTAATCGCCATTTTGTAATAGTCTTAAAGTGTTCATATTTGTACTAAAATCTATATTGATGATTAAGAAAACTCAATATTGATCATTTTTAAAACACATTTTCACTTTACAACTTACCGTTTTAATTAACGTAATGTGCAAAGAACAAATTTAAACTAAATCTAAATACATACCCTTCACAAAAATTCAAATTTTGTTTGAAAAAAGTTTACAAATTACATCCCTTTTTACCAATTACACACTAAATGACTTAAAAATAATTTGAAAAAGCAGAAAAAAGGTGACAATTTGATGTTAGTAAAAAAAAAAACAATTATCTAAATAGCATGGTTTGATAAAGTGCAATGTGGTAAGTAAAACACAGGTATTTTAAAAACTACCTTTTATTTATTTTATACACAGAATGTACTTTTTATTAATTATTTTTTTTTTATCAGTAACAGTTTAGAAGCTGTTCCAAAATGTTCTCTATGTTTATTTTTATATTTGCGTTATTGTTTTCGTTTATTTTTAGTTTGTGTTACTTTTGAGTTTGTGTTTGCATTTTCATTTGTTTTTTTTTGTTTTCGTTGGTTGTGGTTAGGGTTAACTTTAGAGTTAGGATTACCATTATGTGTAATTTTCTCAAACGTCCATATTTGCATATAGACATTAAATTAAAAAGGAAATTCCTAAACCTGGGCATTGTCAGGTATATACTGCTTAATAAACACAGAAGTCATGGTCCTTTACAGGGTCTGGTCATTTCATATTTATGTATATATATATATATAAGACTAAAGTTATTTATAGAATTTTTTATATTGAATTCAATGCATCTTGAGATGAACATATCTGTGTTACATGAATGTATCTGTGTTACATGTATGTGATAGCTAGTTCAGTGGGCTCTGATTTTATTATTAATGTCGGAGTTTTTGCCCATAACTAAAGATTTGGTCCAGCAATAATTTTTTAGTTTAAAATTTTAATCTTCATCTCAGATACAGTTTTTCAAAGGATTATCACATTTTCTAGTATACTAAAAAAACTACATGAATTATGTAGCAAGTCATTCAGTTTGATGCTATTATGACTTTAGTATCATTATGTAGCAAGGCATTCAGTTTGATGCTATTATGACTTTAGTATCATTATGTAGCAAGTCATTCAGTTTGATGTTATTATGACTTGAGGTTCATTATGTAGCAAGGCATTCAGTCATGTTATTATGACTTGAGGTTCATTATGTAGCAAGGCATTCAGTCATGTTATTATGACTTGAGGTTCATTATGTCAGCAATAAACTCAACTAAAACATGGTGGGAAGATAAAAAATACTTCAAATAGATCAAATTGCACCTTTATGAGAAAATATTTTTTCAAACAAAATCTTTCATGGTATAAATGGCCCACAAAGACAATATACGTTTCTATAAATACATACACAAAATATATCTGTCCACATAGAAGGTGTTTTCACTGTGAAACTGTAAAGGTTATCTCCCCTGCTTCAACAGCTACGAGTACAAGCCCAGGTGGAGATGAAAGCCGTCAGGTCTGAGGCCATGCAGAATAGAGTAGCCATTAAAACAGCACGCGGGCAGCAGCTGGAGGCTGTTCGACATTAAGCTCTCATCACAAGGCAACAGCGACATTAAGCTCTCATCACAAGGCAACAGCTTTAAATTCAGCTTTACCAAGGATTTTTTTTTTAGCAAAGGAATCTCATGTACTAGACACAAGCCATTTAAATATTGAACTCATTTGTAACTGCTATATTTTCAAACTATTGTGTATGCAACTGTAATCTTATAAAAATGTAACTGTTTTTATGGAATTTTTATTGACTGAATATTGTGAAGCAATGTCAATTTGATCTGAAATTTGTAATAATGTGAAGCAATGTCAATTTGATCTGAAATTTGTAATAATGTAAAGCAATGACAATTTGATCTGAAATTTGTAATAATGTGAAGCAATGACAATTTGATCTGAAATTTGTAATAATGTGAAGCAATGTCAATTTGTCCTGAATGGAGTAAGATGTTAGCTACAGAACCAGCAAAATGAGTCTAGCTATATTGGGTTACTCTACCCCACCATAAGTCTTAGGTGGTTTTTACTAGACCACCATGAGCTTAAGGTGGGTTACTCTACTCCCCCTTCATTGTTTCTCTTTTACAGCTTCGTAATCAAGCACAAGGAGAACTGCGTGCACTTCGAGCAGAACTGAGTGAAAGAAAACTGAATTTGGAGAAGAGTAGACAAGAACAGCTGGCCACTATTAACACCTCATACAATAGCCAACCTGAGTTCAAGGATCATTTCTTTAGAACAAGTTTGGAGAGCTTTTAATTAATGAGTCATCTCAAGTTTGGAGAGCTTTCAATTAATGAGTCATCTCAAGTTTGGAGAGCTTTTAATGAATGAGTCATCTCAAGTTTGGAGAGCTTTTAATTAATGAGTCATCTCAAGTTTGTAGAGCTTTTAATGAATGAGTCATCTGTTTCCTATTTGATTGGATATATTAAGCAGATTTTGGTTTGACCAATCAATCCAATATTTCAAACAGTGAGTTAACTGACATATCACCTCAAGAGCTTATCCCTGAAATCTGAACTCAATTCAAACCCAAAATTTTATTAAAATTTACACACATTATTAAATGAATTGATACACACATTATTAAATGAATCAATAAACAAATTATTAAATTAATCAATACACAAATTATTAAATTAATCAATACACAAATTATTAAAAGCTGACTTGAAATTACAAAATAAATGTTTTGTTTAATTTTATTGCATTTTTTTTTACTGCAACACACTATGTGTTTTACGGATTCAGTGATGAAAACAAATAATTTTACATTTTATATAGATCTATGATTAATCTTGTATAATGTAGGACTATTCAGTTGAACTTTGATTTTTTTAATAAAGTTGATCAACATGATCAGGTTCTAAAAAAACATTGACTTGTTTGAGTAAAAAATCAAGTGTTACTGGCCAAGTGAACAAAAAAACATTGACTTGTTTGAGTAAAAAATCAAGTGTTACCGGCCAAGTGAACAAAAAAACATTGACTTGTTTGAGTAAAAAATCAAGTGTTACTGGCCAAGTGAACAAAAAAACATTGACTTGTTTGAGTAAAAAATCAAGTGTTACTGGCCAAGTGAACAAAAAAACATTGACTTGTTTGAGTAAAAAATCAAGTGTTACTGGCCAAGTGAACAAAAAAACATTGACTTGTTTGAGTAAAAAATCAAGTGTTACTGGCCAAGTGAACAAAAAAACATTGACTTGTTTGAGTAAAAAATCAAGTGTTACTGGCCAAGTGAACTACAGACAGACTACAAGTACAACAGTGACATGACAAATGATCTCAGTATTCAATCAATTTTTTTAATCTTTAAATTGATTGTAGGGCCTATATACTTTTTAAATTTGTATTTACTTTTTTTTTTACACATAATAATTGTTAGATCTACTAAAATCAACTGGTTAAATAAAACAAGGCATCATAAGACTACAAAAACATATTTTTTATAAATGTAAGTAAAAAAAATTATAAATATATAATAATATAATGATGGATACCACACTAATAATCCAAACATGTGAAATAGTTTTTCAAACAGGTTTGCGACATAAAACCATTCTTTCTTAACATCATCAACCCAAAGTTGACATAACATAAACTTGACATCATCAACATAAAGTTGACATCATCAACACAAAGTTGACTTGACATCATCAACACAAAGTTGACATAACATAAAGTTGACATCATCAACACAAAGTTGACATCATCAACACAAAGTTGACATCATCAACATAAAGTTAGTTACCACTAACTTTTCTCTACTGGCTGTTGACTAGCGTGACTTCTTAAAAGTGCAGATGTCTTTCTGCCATGTGACGAAAGCTGCCTCATCATAAAAGAAACTCTTTTGTTTGCATGCACACTTCAAAAACTTGGCTCAAAGACCACACTGTTGACTTCAGACGACAGTTGTATTGTTTACAGAGAGCGGATGTCCGCTCTTTTAGGTCTCTGCCAACAATGTGAGCGGCCATCTTGCTACAAATTGGTGTTTTTATAGCCTTCCATCAATATATGAGCAATTCCCTTTGATCTAGCTTTGTCCACGTAATGTGGTAGGATGAACTCATCAATATCCCTTCGTATATTAGACTATATAGACCTACTGTCCATTGAAAATTAGTTTTAATCTACCAATTTTAATATGTTTAATGTAAGTCACAGACCTAGTCTATGTTATGATCCCTTCCTTACAATTATTATGTGTAAAAAGTAAATAAAAAGCTTCCTGACAATCAATTTTTTAAAATGTTAATAATCCTAAGTACTTTAATTATTTTGCTGTGTGAAATTTTGTCTGAGATCATTTGTCCATGAGATCATTTGTCCTGGTACATTTTGTCCTTCAGATTATATGTCATGGAACCATACAACTGTTCCATGTTTGGGACTCACAAAATATTGGAGCATGAAATCAATAGAGCTAACCTAATGTTACTGTAAACTACATTGGCATCCACGGCTGCTGTCTACAGTACCGGCGCCAGGTTATTTAGCGCCCTAGGCAAAACTTATTAAAAGCCCCCCCCCCCCCCCCGCAATTTTTTGTGTGCCCCCATATTATCAGAAGCGTAGCGACCCTTCCCGGCGCCCGGGGACAAACTTTCGATTTGCACCCCCCTCAAACTTTCAATTTGTTTTTCAAACCCATTTTGGCGCCCCCCCCCCCCTATGGACAGCGCCCTAGGCGACCGCCTTATAGGTAGCGCCGCCCCTGGCTGTGTATGAACTTTGGAGGTAGCTTGGAAATATTAGAAGGATTTGGGGTCATCCATTTATGACATCCACAAAAATTTGGGATTTTAGCCCCCCCCCCCCCCCCCCCCCCCCATTGTGGACGTCCACAAAAATTTAGTAAACCTCTCAATACATGGGACGGAGTGGTCTAGTGGTAACGCGTAAGTCTCGAGTTCGAATCCGGGCTCGTCAGTAGACCGTCCCTGAGTCCACCCAACTCTGATGGGCACCTAACTCACGTTAGGGAAAGTAAAGGCGGCTGGGCATAGTGCTGACCACACTATACTATTCCTATGCCGAGGTCACTGTTATTTGCCCTATAGACCGTCAGGTTTGAAAGGGAACTTTACTTTTTACTTTATTCAATACAGACCTGCAAAATTACTAATTCATTTACATGCAATGTGTACATTAACTAATAATGTAGTATAGGGATTTGATATTTTCAGTAACATCTATTACTAGGTCTAAATAATAATTGGGAGTTAAACTTTTCCAAGATATTCTTAATTCTACGGCATGTTAACTTATCGCGTGAATGTGATAAGACTAAAATTGTTCTTTATTGAAAGAGTGATCGCTCATGGACGCTGTGTGCCCTGCCTCTCGATTTTAAAGGCTTTCGTTACACACTCTTATTTTTTATAAAGAGTCAGAGATTGCAGGCAGTCATGCATGTTTTTTTTTTTAAATTAAAGATGCTGTAGACCGAACTTTTTACTGCCATTTGTGGCTGTCTAGCTATCAACGACTATATGGGTTCGATTAAATTCGGCTAATCAACGTGGCGCCATTTATTACATTTACTTAGCTTTACACTGCATGGGTTCCCATAACAAACCGCCTCTCCCCTTTTTTTTGTAGTCGCGCTGACCGTTAGCCCTATATACCTGACCAAGCGAGCACATTATACACGCGCTGATATTTAAATTGTTTTGAATTTTTTACTTGAAAAAAAAATTACTAGATCTACACCATCTTACATGAACGTACATTAGACTTATAAATCCTTATTTTGGTTCTCTGCTGCAGTGAGGATAAGTTCCAGATCTTAGCAAGTCTGTTGAAAGCCTGTGCTGCCATTGCTATTCTGGTGGCTATTTCTTGCCAGTGTGCCATTTGCTGAGATACAGGTTTACAGAACAAATGAGCACGTAATAGCTACACTAGTGTATTTACAGAATAAATTTGCTCTCCATTATCATCACAACCACATGAAAAAAAAATCTTCAAGATAATTTTTGCCTTTTCACATGCCCAGAATACAGATCCATCAAATGAGAATTTGAAACATAATTATAAGGAATCTATAATATAAGGCTGGTGGTAGTGTGTCAGTCAGACCGTTGATATAGATTTTGGAAACACAAATGCAAACACATCACATGGCGTGCTTTTTACTTGCAGCAGTGTCTTGTTGTTAGTATTAGAGTAAGGTTTGTTTATTTAACGACTTAAATTTATTTTATAGTAGGTAGTCCAAACTGAAATTAACTATTGATTGCAGACTTCTGGAGTATGTCATGAAAGAACTTTTAATTGTAAGGTCTATGCCACAAATTTTATAAAAATATCTCAATAAATAAAAAAGTTATGCGATTTTTAAAAAAGCAAAATTTGGTAAAAAACTGATTTTCAAAAAGTGCCATTTTTGAGAACCCATATTTTTTAAACTAAATAACATAGAAGTGTGGAAATTGGTAAAGTTGCTGCAAAGTTTGTAATATGTATGCCCAATTTTTTTCAGTCATCTAAAATGAGTCTTTCTAAGGTAAAAAAATAATTGAAAATGACAAAAATGCGTTTTGGTCACTTTTATTTTCATAAAAAAAAAAAAAAAATCAATTTTTTTTTTTTTTTTGCTTTGGAATAACTCTAAAATTATTGTGTTGGTAACATCGACGTGGAAAAATGTGTTAATTATTTTCAAAAATCACATGAGTTAAAATATTATTTTAAAAAATACCACAGTTATCTAGTGCAGGAGAAAAAGAATCAAAATTTAGTAGAGTAAATGTAATGTAATGTAGTTTAATAAAGACGTGATGCCTACAAGTGATGCAGCAGTTGATGCCACATGCTTTGGTTTCTTTTCAAACCTGATAACTGCTTTGGGGGAACAGTTTTGGGGGAACATCTTTGTACGTCTTGTTTCCCTCAACCTTGTGGAGCATCAAGAGTAAGTAATATGTTTTGGGAATTGTAGGGGGAGGGGGGAGTGGGGTCTTGGCCTTCTTCCCTTCCCTTGTAAGGAAAGTTCTGGATAGGCCACCGTAAATGTCTCCAGCTATGGAACGAACAATTGATTTAGTGATTAATAAAATATAATTAAATTTACTACTAGCCTATTGTGTAGGCCTACTATTTGTCCTATGACTATAACTGGAAACATATGAAAAAGCCTGAAAACACCTTTTTGTTAAAAGTAATTTATATTTTATATATATTTTTAAGAGTAATTCTACTGAATAAAATTTGAAATAATCGTTGTTTGTGCCACAATGGTTGAGATATCAAATGATGAAGGTACCATACTGTGGTTCTCAACATCCTATAGGACAACTTAATTGTCCTTCATTGTTACTATTATATGCATATAAAATAAATAAATAATGAGAAATACTACTAGTACTACTTACACTTACAACTAATATAGCATTTAAAACTAAGTCACAACATGTAGAATCTTAATAAATTGCACCACCATCTAAAAATTGATCTGGTATATTTTATTACGGAGACTGGCGCAGACCATTTCACATTATTTAGCAGGGGAATCAGAATCAGAGTGCACAACAGAAAATAAAAAAATTAATCACATTAGTCCTTAAAATTTAGTGTCTTTTGTTTTAAATAAATCAATAAAAATGTGTAGTTATTTTAATTATGCATTTATATTTATTTTGTGTTTCATTAATATTTTATAAGTATTTAACCTTCGTTCCGTGTAAATAATTGAGTTTGTCCACATAGTTACCAGGATTGTCTGGTGGCCATTTTGAATTTGTCGATTCATAATTTTGACGTGATAGTCCAAATAAACTGTAGTAATACGACCCTATCATTAATCCCGTTCGATAGATTTTAAAGAATTAGTAAACACTAGCATCTAATAGTTAAGTGCATCCATATTTTAAGTCCCTAGAATGTCATGAATTAAATAGCTTCACGTCTAAACACACCCTGTGTACAAGCGTAGTTCACACCAGTGTTTCTTCCAGACTTTTTTCTCCGGGGGGGCACTTGAAATCTTCGGGGGGGCGGTAAACTTTCTTCGGGGGGGCGGACACTGTTAAAAGTATATATTTTCTATATAAATTATTTAAATTTCATTTCTTTCGGGGGGGGGGGGGGGGGCGGTAAAAATTATTCGGGGGGGGGGGGGGGGGGCTTCGCCCCCCCGAAGAGATGCCTGGAAGAAACTCTGGTTCACACGCAAGAAACCGTGGACTAGTAGAGTTCAAATTTACATTAATAACGTGTACTAATTAAACCAAAGTGACATTCAAACTTAAAATTCATTTATTAAAATGGAAATGAAACGTTAAAAATGGTACTTACAACTTGTTTGAAGGCTCTAGCAAGGGTAAAATCCGTTTAGCATCATCGGTCGTCAACCTTTAAAACCGTTCGGCGAGCAACTTACTCGGGGCTGAAAGTCGACTCGAGGGTTATATGTTTATTGGGGGTACGGCTTCGCGACCGTAAATCAGAAATACTTGAATTTACAACACAAAGTAGTTATAAAACTGAACTTTACATCGGTGTAAAAATTGAAACAGAATTAGTTTGTTTCCGTGTATATATCGTCATTTAAAGTTTAAAATCTGCATTTTTTAAATGAAATAAACAAGTTATTTTTTCAATTTATACATCAAACGATAGCCTAGAATTCGATCTTTAAAATGACATTAAGATTATGCTTCTACGATGCTTCGTCGCGAAGCCGCGACCAAATAAAACAGTGTGGGGTCGATCGGTACACGCAAAACGGTGAAATTTGTTGACGTAACTGATACTTTTCAAACAAATATAAAACACATTCAAAGATGTGTTACAGATATAAAAATACCAGATTACGACAGATAAAGACTTAAACTTTATTGACATATAATTTTTATTCTTATAGGACAACTAGAAGTAGTGAAATTTTTTTTTTTGAAAACCGCAAAAAACTGACCCTAAAACGCACTTTTTCGCCAATTTGGACTACCTATTTATAGTCGCTACGGTTTTCACTCTTTCGCATAACGTAAAGAAAATATTAAATACACGCACATTGCTAAAACATAATAAAAGGATCAATGTCAAATGTCATTTTTGTTTAGATTCCTATAAAAAGTGGACATATTTTTATAATAATAGGGTCGAAAAAAATAATTAATTAAACTGTTTTGAAATTTTCCAAGGGAGGTAATTTAAAAATAAATTCAACTCTTGTTAATAAAAAAATGTGAATGCAAAGTCTCCAAGAGGGAATCATTGTCAGAATAATATAATTAGCACAATGTGAATGCAAATTCTGCAGTCGGGTAAGAGGAAATTATTGTTGGAATATTATTATTAGCATGGATTGATAAAAGGCAATCTTTTATTTATTTTATTCACTGAACGTACCGTTTGCTAATTATAATTTTTAATCAACTATTCCGCAATGGTTTTAGTCATAAAACTCTATTTTAAATTTTTAAAATTTCAAGTACTGAAATGTACATACATAAAATGTATGAATTGATAAAGTGCAATATGGTAGGTAAAACACGGATATTTTAAATACTGCCTATTATTTATTGTATACACTGAACGTACTGTTTACTAATTATTATTCTATCTTTCGGTTTGCGGACAAGCTGGGGGTTTTATAGTCGTTCGCCGAGTCAGGCGCGTCCACCGTTGCTCGGACAGGGTGCGATTTGGCGCCACGGGCTAGACTGTGAGCACTATGCGTTTATTTTTGCATTTACGTCATGTTTATGTTGTGAGTGTTGTCTTTTATGTTTGTGTGTTGCATTTGTGTTTTCGTTTGTTTGCATTGTGTTTGTTTGCATTGTATTTATGTTGTGTTTGTGTTGTTCTGTTCCCAAGTTGGTACATTTTAAAAAAGATTTACCCTGGCGGAGCACGGGGTATACAGCTAGTATTATAATAAGCAATTCATTGGGCAGATGAAGTAGAGTTCAAATGTTTCTAGACCTCACCATATGAACAGAAATAGTTTGGTTAGCACTATGCCCAGCCACCTTTACTTTATGCCAGAACAGGGAGGACTTAGGGACATCCTACAATCACAACTCCTAATTGAAATCCAAACTAGAGAGCTAAATGCTTTTCCATACGATCATGCCATTTAACAAATGGAATAATATTGAGCTTGTCATATCATTCTACAATATTGTTTTAATTACCTTCATTACTAACTTATAAAACTTTCTCTAATTTAATTTTACATAATTTATACATCTAGTTATCTAAGAAATGTATTTTGAGTAGTTGTAATCTTCCAAGTCTAAAATAAAAATAAATAAAAAGGTTTTATGGAACTGGATTAAGCAAGATTCCAGCCAGGCATGAAATAAATATTCAAATTATAAAGGCAGTGGCAGCAGAAAGCTACTGTCAGGATTCTAGGAGATTAATCCCCCTCCTCCCTGTTAAACGCCACCTGTACATTACTCCCTGTCAATTATTCACTATTTAAAAAATAAAATGCGTCTTAAAATGAACAGAAAGCTAACACAATACAGTGGTACGCTGAGATACAAGTTTAATTTGTTACAGAGGTACGCTGAATTACAAGTTTAATTTGTTACATTGGTACGCTCAACTACAAGTTTAATTTGTTACATTGGTACGCTGAGATACAAGTTTAATTTGTTACATTGGTACGCTGAGCTACAAGTTTAATTTGTTACATTGGTACGCTGAGATACAAGTTTAATTTGTTACATTGGTACGCTGAGCTACAAGTTTAATTTGTTACGTAACATTGCTGATATCTCAGACTGGTTGTATCTAAAAGTATTTGCAATTGAAATTGTATGAAATTATATTCATCTGTAAATGATATGAAATGATATTCATCTGTAAATGATACAAAATGATATTCATCTGTAAATGATATGAAGTGATATTCATCTGTAAATGATATGGAATGATATTCATCTGTAAATGATACAAAATGATATTCATCTGTAAATGATTGAAGTGATATTAATCTGTAAATGATATGGAATGATATTCATCTGTAAATGATACAAAATGATATTCATCTGTAAATGATTGAAGTGATATTCATCTGTAAATAATATGAAATGATATTCATCTGTGAATGATTGAAGTGATATTCATCTGTAAATAATATGAAATGATATTCATCTGTAAATGATATGAATCTGTTTCAGCCTGCACCAAAATTGCTACCTCAAATGTTTTCTTTTACCTATTTTTAATTTAAATAAACCGGGAGTGATCTCCCCTAAACTTTCTCGAATATTCTTATATAACACAACAGGGGATGGGAACTCGGGCTATAGACATGATTTTTAATCAATTTTAAATACTTAAAGTTTTAAAAATAGAATAAAATCTCGTAGACAAAAGAAGTGAATGCCAAATAAAAAGTGCATAATAGTGCGCAATATTATTAGTACTTTAAAAATTTACATTAGTTTTTTGAGAAATCGGAAGTAGCGTAAATTACTACTTCCGGTCAACGGAAATTACTCAAAATTTAACAGAAGGTAGAGAATTAGATCTTTGACTTACATGTGAAATTTCATTTATCTATCTGAAATAGTACTCAAGTTATAGGCTTTTGAAAAATTCAAAGTAGAAAAAATACCACTTCCGGTTATCGGAAATCGCTCAAAAGTTGATACGGATCTACGATTTTGATAAAATACTTATATATATATATAAAATTTCATCAACCTAGCTGTAACGGTACTCAACTTATCGTGTCTACACACACACACAGAAAACGGACAGAATTGCAAAGCCCAGTTTTTCAGACTGGATTACGCATAAAACCTCTTAATTTTGATAAATCTGGATTGATAATTTTTGCCCGATTAAAATAAGTCCTCTATACTCCGGATGTGATGAAGGACTGGAGGAGTAAAACGGTGAAAACTGTCAAAATTTCATGTTATTTTTGTGCACGATTACAATACTTTCTCTATACTTCGTATATACGAGAAAGTAAAAATGTGTTTACAAATAACACATTTTGTAAAAGACATATCGAAGGAGAATCACTGACCAACTACCTACACTACTAAATTCTTTCGGTCACTTTAATTTGCTTACTCGTTACACTCTTAATAGTACACTTTATCCCGGTTACACTTTTAATAGTACACTTTATCCCGGTTACACTTTTAATAGTACACTTTATCCCGGTTACACTTTTAATAGTACACTTTATCCCGGTTACACTTTTAATAGTACACTTTATCCTGGTTACACTTTTAATAGTACACTTTATCCTGAACTTCATGGAACTGAACTCAAATTCACTGAACATAGTTCAACTTAGACACTTAGAAGCTACTAGATTATTACTTTTGCTTATTCTCTCTTCACTACTCATTGCCTTTTTCACCACGCTTTACTTCATTTCATATGAAGGCCATCTCTACTTCATTTCATATGAAGGCCATCTTTACTTCATTTCATATGAAGGCCATCTAAAACAAAATCTGATAAGATAGTTTATTTTTTCCTCCCATTCAGAAAGTTGCGAAATCAGTTTGACAAACTCTTAAATAGCTGCAATGCACGATCATTTGCAAGTTTTTCAGGTGTTATTTGTCAAGAAATGTAAAACTCGCAGCTTCGGTTACTTGTATCTCAAATTTCGCACTTAACTCAAAAACAAAAAAATTTCTTGAATTCGAGGTAGATTCTACCACTGTAAGTATTATGACTAGAATAATGAATGAAAATCTTGATGAAATAAACCAGACCAACACCCAGTACAACAAATCTGTTTAGATTATTTTTCAAACGATAGAAGAAATGACTAGGATAAATCTTGACACTCAAGTGTCAGAGTAGCACTCTGGTCTGTGTAACAAATGTGCTTTCAAGCCAGTCTTGTAAACTATTCTGGCTCCACAAACAACTTACTCCTTGTAAACACCATCTTGAATAAGTTTCCGCCAAACAGAACCTCCAGGCCATTTGTAATCTTCAATGGAAGAGCTCTTCATCTCTATACTGTAACCAGGGCTCTAGTATGGGAAAAAACAATTCTCTATTTAGTTATATAATATATATGTATATTGGTTCATTTTTATATATTACATTCTCTCTTTAATTATATATGTATAATGGTTCATTATTATATATTTATAAAAACCTTTATTTCCTTTCACTTTTTAGTGCATAATTATATAATAGTTTGTTATCAAAACGTTTTTTATTCTTAAATTAATTTTTTAATTACAAGCTTTTAACTTTATTCTAAAATTAATTTTTTTAATTACAAGCTTTTAACTTTATTCTTAAATTATTTTTTAGCGCAATTTCCATTCTGGAGAATTGCGTTTATTAACCCGTCATTTCTGGATGTATGAATGTATGAATGAATGGATGTGTGTCCGCAGCTTTAAGTCGTATCTCCTCCTCAACGAAGCAATATCGAGGACTAGTTCCAAAAGCAATTATGTTAAGCAAGTTAAGAGGATGAACATAGGCCAAAAAAATTCTGAGTTTCTTTCATGGATTTCCCGGAAAAGCCAAAAAACCTCGAAAAAATGCAGTTTTTGGCCCATATCTCGGCAACCAGACTACTTAGCGACTTGAAACATTTACCAATCGATTCCTGCCATAATTTAGAACAATATTGAAAGTTTTCAAAAATATCCTTTCTTTCGGTCACAAATTTTTTTTTGAAATAATTAAAATTTGGACATGTAGGCATGTTTATCCAACCACACCACACGCGTCATCACGTTCAATAGCTGCGCCATCACGTTCAATGGCTGCGTCATCACGTTCAGTAGCTAGGTGCGCAATGGTTTTTAGTCATGTAACTCTATTATAAATGTAATATATTGTGCTTTATATTGAGGGGAACTCACTCTTCTTGTATTAGTCTTATAATGTTTGAGTGATGTCCCTTGCAGGTAATGTTCCGTTTCCGTTACAGAATAAACATGGCGTACATAAAAATGTCTTCCTCGTCTGTTGTATTATCTGTCTAAGATAACAATCCACTTCATTGGCGACGAGGATAAATCATCCACTAAAAAGAGCACATGCTTACTTAAGAAGAGGCTTGCTAGAGCATATTTGCTAAGTATTTGCAGGATAATGGCGCTGTATGGCCAGATAAAAGAATTTAATTCGAATGATGAAACCATTCATGATTATCTAGATAGGTTAAGCTTTTACCTTGAAGCTAACGACGTGACGATAGAAGCCAAAAAAGAGAGCTGTTTTGTTAACAGTCATAGGGCCTCCACAATTTAGGCTATTAATAAAGGACTTATGCGCACCAGCTAGTCCAGCTACCAAGAGCTTTAACGAGCTGAGCAAACTCCTAACAGACCATCATGCGCCTGCACCACCAAAGTTCCTGTGTAGAGCCAGATTTGACGGTAGGACTCGTCAACCAAACGAAGCAATATCAGAATATGTTGCTGCTTTACGTCATCTAAGCGAATTCTGGGACACGCTGTCTGACAGACAGGCGTAGCGACCCTTCCCGGCGCCCGGGGACATACTTTCAATTTGGCGCCCCCTTGGGAGCAAATTTTCGATTTGCACCCCCCCCCCCTCGAACTTTTCATTTGCACCCCCCCTCAAACTTTCGATTTGCACCCCCCCCCCTCAAACTTTCAATTTGGCGCCCCCCCCTATGTCCCCCCCCCCCCTCGCTACGCTACTGATGACAGACTATGTGAAAAGTTTGTGACAGGTGTAAACAGCCCTGATGTTCAAAGAAAGTTGCTTCTCGAGTCAGATCTAACATTGGAAAAAGCAATACAACTTGCAACTTCATTCCAGCAGTCATCCGAGGCGGCCAGATCTCTAGCGCTTTCAGGGATCCATGCAGTGGACAGCAGGTCAGTCAACAAACACCAACCCCATCAGAGCAGTTCAACTTATGCTAAACAGCCTGCAAGTTCAAATCCTATATCTAAATCTAGTAATAATTATCAAAAATGGTATCGATGCAACGGTCCCCATGCATCTCATCAATGCAAGTTCAAGTCAGCAACTTGCTATTAGTGCAGTAAGCAAGGTCACATTGCCAAGGCCTGCTTTGCAAAGTCTTCGTCGGTTGCTAGATCTAGCCAGTCAGGACAGTACCGCAACCAAAGGCAGCACTATGTTAACTGTCACCAAGACAGCCTAACCCAACCAATGAACCACTCTACCAGTGAAAATGCTCAAACTGATCCGCAGCCGGAGTTCAACCTGTTCTCTGTGAAATCAACAAGTCATGCTCCCATCAACGTTCTAATTTGTATCAACGGTAAGAGCATCATCTTCCAGCTTGACACGGGAGCATCTCTAACCGTCATCACAAAGAAGGACTTTGACGTTGTCACAGGAGGATCAGTGCCTCTACAACCATGTCACAAGTGCCTAACAACATACACAGGTGAAAATGTTCCGGTGATAGGAGAGTGTATAGTTCATATAAGCTATAATGGTCAAAGTGTTAAACTTCCTCTTCTTGTGGTTGAAGGAAACGGACCACCATTACTAGGTAGGAACTAGTTAGACTGGGGGAGTGTATTTTCAGTGAACAAAGCAAGAGAATCTAGTTTTACTTCAATAGATAAAGTTGTATTTGAAAATGAAGGTGTCTATGGCAGTTCAGGGTTACTAAATGATAGGACAGTGAAGATAAGCATTAAAGACACAAATCCAAGATACTGCAAAGCTAGAGTTCCACCTTATGCAATGAGGGATAAAATTGAAAATGAGCTAAGTAAATTGGAATCTAATGGTATCATAAAGAAGGTGGACTATTCCGATTGGGCAACGCCCATTGTGCCAGTGTTAAAGAAGGATGGTTCTGTAAGAATTTGTGGAGACTATAAAGCTACACTGAATAAGCAAATAGAGCTAAATAGGTACCCTATTCCTAACATTGAGGAAATTTCTTTGAATTTAGCAGGAGGAGACAAATTCACTGAATTAGACTTTAGTCATGCTTACACTCAACTAGAACTTCATCCAGATTCAAAAGTCTATACGACAATAAACACACATAAGGGACTCTACCAATATGAAAGACTATGTTTTGTTATATGATATATTTTTTTCAGGACATTCCAAATGTTTGTGTTTACTTTGACAATGTATACATAACTGGTAAGAATGACACTGAACATCTTAAAACACTTGATAAAGTCTTGAAAATAGTTGGTGAAAAGGGTTTAAAGATAAACAAAGATAAATGTCAATTCATGCTGACAGATATTAGTTTTCTGGGTTATAGTTTGAGCAAGCAGGGTCTCAGACCTCAACCTGAGAAAACAAAAGCCATTAAAGAAGCACCCAAACCTGAAAATACCCAACAGCTAAGAGCTTTTTTGGGCTTGATAAATTACTATGCGAAGTTCATAGGGAATCTGTCTGGTAAACTATCACCACTGTACAAGCTGCTGCAGAAAAATGCAACTTGGCACTGGGGTAAACAACAAGATGCTGCTTTTAATGCAGCAAAAGAAGCTTTGTCTTCTGACACCTTGCTAAATCACTATGACCCAGGGAAAAGACTTATCTTAACATGTGATGCTTCACCAGATGGTGTAGGAGCAATTTTATCCCACATAGATGAAAATGGTGACAGACCCATTGCTTTTGCCAGTAGATCTTTGAACCAGGCTGACAAAAATTATTCTCAGTTAGATAGGGAAGGCTTAGGCATCATTTTTGGTGTTAAGAAATTTCACAAGTTTCTGTTTGGTAGGGAGTTCACCATCTTTACAGATCATAAGCCATTGCTGGGTTTGTTTGGGGAAAACAAACCCCTGCCTGAGCGTGCCTCACCAAGGGTTCAAAGGTGGGCTATCACACTAGCCGCATACAATTATGAATTGAAATACAAACCTGGATCTGAGAATAGTGCAGATAGTCTTAGTCGTTTACCTTTAAAAAACCAAAGCCTTAGTTATGTACCAGAAGATGTATTTGTTCTTTTCACTATCATGGATAGCTCCAATATAAATGTGAATGATGTTAAGAGAGAAAAACAAAAAGATGAGTGCTTGATAAAAGTATATGAGTACTGTAAGAATGGTTGGCCTGAAGAGTCAGTGAATGATGATTTAAGGCCATCTAAAATAAGAAAAATAGAGTTATGTCTAGAAGATGGATGTGTGCTATGGGGGTCAAGGGTTATTATCCCTAAAATGTTACAAAAAGAAGTTTTAAGAACTTTACATGATACTCATCTTGACTCTTCCAAAATGAAAAGTCTTGCACGATCGTGGTTCTGGTGGCCACATATGGATGCTGATATTGAAAAATATGTAAAGCTTTGTTCAAGCTGTGCACAACATTCAAATCAACCAGCTACAGCACCTTTGCAAAACTGGGACTGGCCAATCGAACCATGGAAATGTATACATATAGATTTCGCAGGACCCTTCATGAACAAAATGTTCTTAATTGTTATTGATTCACATTCTAAGTGGTTAGAAGTTAAAATCATGAACAAAATCACTGCAAGTGATACCATTATTGAACTTAAGGAAATATTTTCAACTCATGGATTACCTGATCAAATTGTTTCAGATAATGGGCTTAGTTTCACTGCTCATGAGTTTAAACTGTTTTGTGTAGCATATAACCACATCACCCTATCATCCTGCTGGGAATGGTTTGGCTGAAAGAGCGGTAGCCATATTCAAAACCGCTATGGTGGTACCGGTAACAAATTTTCTCTCAGGGAAAGAGTAAACAGGTTCTTAGCCAAATACCGCACAACTCCCCATATAACAACAGGTGTTGCACCATGCGAATTGCTATGTGGTAGGAAAATTAAAACTCATCTTGACCTACTACATCCAACTGTTCAAAGGTCTGTGTCCCAACATCAACATACACAAAAAGTAAATCATGACAAAACATCCATTGAGAGAGAATTTGGGGTTAATGATAATGTGTATCTGAGAAATTATGGGAGAGGGGAAAAATGGATGCCAGGTCAAATTGTTCAATGTACAGGACCTGTGTCTTATAAAGTAAAAACAAATAATGGACTTATTGTCCGTAGACATGCAGACCAGTTAAAAATAACTTGTGCAGATAATCTATCAATCCCACCAGATCTGACCGGTTCACACCAACTCAGTTTGTTCCACAACCAAGGTCTGTTGATATGAGTGAACCAAGTATTCTAGAGTCAGAAAATGTAAATTCTGGAATTAATGATTTAGATCCTGGACTTCCTGAGCTAGAGAGTCCAGATGGTCAGAATCTTGAGTCACCAAATCAACAGCCACTGAGAAGGTCAAACAGGACAATCAAAGTCCCAGATAAGTTAGACCTTTGATTTTAAAGGTTAAGAGGACTTTGACATCATTGTTTTGTATTTTAATTATGTTGTAGCAAAAATTTTCATTTGTTTGTAAGGATTTAATCTACCAAATGATTCAAATCATATAATGTTCATGTTACAATATATTTAGTGATTAATTAAATTGTTTAACATTTTGGAAGGAATGTATATAATGTTTTGTATTGACTTTTGAAGTGTTATTAATTGAAAGGGGATCATTATTCAATCTTTCTTTTATTATTGTTTGGCAATTCTAATGTTTTAAACTAAAGAAGGAAATGGTAAGGTGATTTTAGGATACTATCATTTATTCTCTTGAAAGCTATGTTATTATTTACTAAGGGTAAAGGGATGTAATATATTGAGGTTTATATTGAGGGGAACTCACTCTTCTTGTATTAGTCTTATAATGTTTGAGTGATTTCCCTTGCAGGTAATGTTCAGTTTCCGTTATAGAATAAACATGGCGTACATAAAAATGGCTTCCTCGTCTGTTGTATTATCTGTCTAAGATAACAATCCACTTCAGTAAATAAAACATGTATTTTAACCAATGGTTTTACTAACCCTGCTCTTGATTTACGCTACGACAGAGCTATTTTTAGATAACATAAGGAAATTGCGCTAAAATTGTCACTAGACTTTTTAATTACCTTGTTTAATTACAAGCTTTTAACTTTATTCTTAAATTATTTTTTTAATTACAAGCTTTTAACTTTATTCTTAAATTATTTTTTTAATTACAAGCTTTTAACTTTATTTTTTTTACTTCCTTGTTCAACATGGACAGAGGAAATTTCGTCCAGTTCTACCAGACCAATTTTTTAAAAACTTTTGGTACATGGGTCAAGACCCAATGACAATACAATGTGACATCCAACTTGACTTAATTGGATGCGTAATTAATTTTTTAAAAGATGAATGAAAGTTTCCTAAATCTAGTACTAATTTTATGGCTCTAGCAACACATTTTGTGGCGTCGATTTGGTGCTCAAGTTTTTTAGCTGCAATTCACATGTTCAAAGAGAAATGCTTCAAAAATTTAAAAAAATTTCTTTTTAATGATTTAAACAGTGCTACATTGTTATATATTTATTGAAAAACATTGTGAGATCAAATTTGACTAACTTAGATGAAGCCTAAATTAAAGTTTGTATATAAAGTAGGCTACCTCATACACACATTTATTTGGAGTTTTTTTTAGCTGTGTGATTTTATACACATGTAGCCCTTAGCCCTGGTGACATGTAGCCCTTACCTCAGGTGGCATGTAGCCCTTAGCCCTGGTGACATGTAGCCCTTACCTCAGGTGGCATGTAGCCCTTGCCTCAGGTGGCATGTAGCCCTTACCTCAGGTGGCATGTAGCCCTTACCCCAGGTGGCATGTAGCCCTTACCTCAGGTGGCATGTAGCCCTTACCCCAGGTGGCATGTAGCCCTTACCTCAGGTGGCATGTAGCCCTTACCCCAGGTGGCATGTAGCCCTTACCTCAGGTGGCATGTAGCCCTTACCTCAGGTGGCATGTAGCCCTTACCTCAGGTGGCATGTAGCCCTTACCTCAGACAGCATGTAGCCCTTACCTCAGGTGGCATGTAGCCCTTACCCCAGGTGGCATGTAGCCCTTACCTCAGATGGCATGTAGCCCTTACCTCAGGTGGCATGTAGCCCTTACCTCAGGTGGCATGTAGCCCTTACCTCAGGTGGCATGTAGCCCTTACCTCAGGTGGCATGTAGCCCTTACCCCAGGTGGCATGTAGCCCTTACCTCAGGTGACATGTAGCCCTTACCTCAGGTGGCATGTAGCCCTTACCTCAGACAGCATGTAGCCCTTACCCCAGGTGGCATGTAGCCCTTACCTCAGGTGGCATGTAGCCCTTACCTCAGGTGGCATGTAGCCCTTACCTCAGGTGGCATGTAGCCCTTACCTCAGACAGCATGTAGCCCTTACCCCAGGTGGCATGTAGCCCTTACCTCAGGTGGCATGTAGCCCTTACCTCAGGTGGCATGTAGCCCTTACCTCAGGTGGCATGTAGCCCTTACCTCAGACAGCATGTAGCCCTTACCTCAGGTGGCATGTAGCCCTTACCTCAGGTGGCATGTAGCCCTTACCCCAGGTGGCATGTAGCCCTTACCTCAGGTGGCATGTAGCCCTTACCTCAGGTGGCATGTAGCCCTTACCTCAGGTGGCATGTAGCCCTTACCTCAGGTGGCATGTAGCCCTTACCTCAGACAGCATGTAGCCCTTACCTCAGGTGGCATGTAGCATCCATTGTGAATCTTGCATGGGTTGACAAAATGCTCATGTAAGTGATCTGTGTACTCAACCATTCTATCAAAAACAACATTAATGGCCTTTGTGTCTTGTCTGTGTGTTAAAACAACATTAATGGCCTTTGTGTCTTATCTGTGTGTTAAAACAACATTAATGGCCTTTGTGTCTTATCTGGTTGTTTTGTTTGGATACATCTACACAGTTGTGCCCTGACACACCTGAGCCCCAAATGTTATATATGATTGTGATTGAGATAATAGATGATTGTGATTGAGATAATAGATGATTGTGATTGAGATAATAGATGATTGTGATTGAGATAATAGATGATTGTGATTGAGATAATAGATGATTGTGATTGAGACAATATATGATTGTGATTGAGATAATAGATGATTGTTATTGAGATAATAGATGATTGTGATTGAGATAATAGATGATTGAGATAATAGATGATTGTGATTGTGATAATAGATTTGTACAAAGGTTGAACTACAAATCTTTCTGTCATGTTGTAGAAAGGTTGAACTACAAATCTTTCTGTCATGTTGTAGAAAGGTTGAACTACAATCTTTGTCATGTTGTAGAAAGGTTGAACTACAAATCTTTCTGTCATGTTGTAGAAAGGTTGAACTACAAATCTTTGTCATGTTGTAGAAAGGTTGAACTACAAATCTTTCTGTCATGTTGTAGAAAGGTTGAACTACAAATCTTTCTGTCATGTTGTAGAAAGGTTGAACTACAAATCTTTGTCATGTTGTAGAAAGGTTGAACTACAAATCTTTCTGTCATGTTGTAGAAAGGTTGAACTACAAATCTTTCTGTCATGTTGTAGAAAGGTTGAACTAAAAATCTTTCTGTCATGTTGTATAAAGGTTGAACTACAAATCTTTCTGTCATGTTGTAGAAAGGTTGAACTACAAATCTTTCTGTCATGTTGTAGAAAGGTTGAACTACAAATCTTTCTGTCATGTTGTAGAAAGGTTGAACTACAAATCTTTCTGTCATGTTGTAAAAAGGTTGAACTACAAATCTTTCTGTCATGTTGTAGAAAGGTTGAACTACAAATCTTTCTGTCATGTTGTAGAAAGGTTGAACTACAAATCTTTCTGTCATGTTGTAGAAAGGTTGAACTACAAATTTTTCTGTCATGTTGTAGAAAGGTTGAACTACAAATCTTTGTCATGTTGTAGAAAGGTTGAATTACAAATCTTTCTGTCATGTTGTACAAAGGTTGAACTACAAATCTTTCTGTCATGTTGTAGAAAGGTTGAACTACAAATCTTTGTCATGTTGTACAAAGGTTGAACTACAAATCTTTCTGTCATGTTGCAGAAAGGTTGAACAACAAATCTTTCTGTCATGTTGTACAAAGGTTGAACTACAAATCTTTCTGTCATGTTGTAGAAAGGTTGAACAACAAATCTTTCTGTCATGTTGTAGAAAGGTTGAACTACAAATCTTTCTGTCATGTTGTAGAAAGGTTGAACTACAAATCTTTTTGTCATGTTGTACAAAGGTTGAACTACAAATCTTTCTGTCATGTTTTAGAAAGGTTGAACTACAAATCTTTCTGTCATGTTGTAGAAAGGTTGAACTACAAATCTTTCTGTCATGTTGTAGAAAGGTTGAACTACAAATCTTTCTGTGATGTTGTAGAAAGGTTGAACTACAAATCTTTGTCATGTTGTGCAAAGGTTGAACTACAAATCTTTCTGTCATGTTGTAGAAAGGTTGAACTACATATCTTTCTGTCATGTTGTAGAAAGGTTGAACTACAAATCTTTCTGTGATGTTGTACAAAGGTTGAACTACAAATCTTTCTGTCATGTTGTAGAAAGGTTGAACTACAAATCTTTCTGTCATGTTGTAGAAAGGTTGAACTACAAATCTTTGTCATGTTGTACAAAGGTTGAACTACAAATCTTTCTGTCATGTTGTACAAAGGTTGAACAACAAATCTTTGTCATGTTGTAGAAAGGTTGAACTACAAATCTTTCTGTCATGTTGTAGAAAGGTTGAACTACAAATCTTTGTCATGTTGTAGAAAGGTTGAACTACAAATCTTTCTGTGATGTTGTAGAAAGGTTGAACTACAAATCTTTCTGTCATGTTGTAGAAAGGTTGAACTACAAATCTTTCTGTCATGTTGTAGAAAGGTTGAACTACAAATCTTTCTGTCATGTTGTAGAAAGGTTGAACTACAAATCTTTCTGTCATGTTGTAGAAAGGTTGAACTACAAATCTTTGTCATGTTGTACAAAGGTTGAACAACAAATCTTTCTGTCATGTTGTACAAAGGTTGAACTACAAATCTTTCTGTCATGTTGTAGAAAGGTTGAACTACAAATCTTTCTGTCATGTTGTAGAAAGGTTGAACTACAAATCTCTCTGTCATGTTGTAGAAAGGTTGAACTACAAATCTTTCTGTCATGTTGTAGAAAGGTTGAACTACAAATCTTTCTGTCATGTTGTAAAAAGGTTGAACTACAAATCTTTCTGTCATGTTGTAAAAAGGTTGAACTACAAATCTTTCTGTCATGTTGTAGAAAGGTTGAACTACAAATCTTTCTGTCATGTTGTAGAAAGGTTGAACTACAAATCTTTGTCATGTTGTAGAAAGGTTGAATTACAAATCTTTCTGTCATGTTGTACAAAGGTTGAACTACAAATCTTTCTGTCATGTTGTAGAAAGGTTGAACTACAAATCTTTCTGTCATGTTGTAGAAAGGTTGAACTACAAATCTTTCTGTCATGTTGTAGAAAGGTTGAACTACAAATCTTTGTCATGTTGTACAAAGGTTGAACAACAAATCTTTCTGTCATGTTGTACAAAGGTTGAACTACAAATCTTTCTGTCATGTTGTAGAAAGGTTGAACTACAAATCTTTCTGTCATGTTGTAGAAAGGTTGAACTACAAATCTCTCTGTCATGTTGTAGAAAGGTTGAACTACAAATCTTTCTGTCATGTTGTAGAAAGGTTGAACTACAAATCTTTCTGTCATGTTGTAAAAAGGTTGAACTACAAATCTTTCTGTCATGTTGTAAAAAGGTTGAACTACAAATCTTTCTGTCATGTTGTAGAAAGGTTGAACTACAAATCTTTCTGTCATGTTGTAGAAAGGTTGAACTACAAATCTTTGTCATGTTGTAGAAAGGTTGAATTACAAATCTTTCTGTCATGTTGTACAAAGGTTGAACTACAAATCTTTCTGTCATGTTGTAGAAAGGTTGAACTACAAATCTTTGTCATGTTGTACAAAGGTTGAACTACAAATCTTTCTGTCATGTTGTAGAAAGGTTGAACAACAAATCTTTCTGTCATGTTGTACAAAGGTTGAACTACAAATCTTTCTGTCATGTTGTAGAAAGGTTGAACAACAAATCTTTCTGTCATGTTGTAGAAAGGTTGAACTACAAATCTTTCTGTCATGTTGTAGAAAGGTTGAACTACAAATCTTTCTGTCATGTTGTAGAAAGGTTGAACTACAAATCTTTCTGTCATGTTGTAGAAAGGTTGAACTACAAATCTTTCTGTCATGTTGTAGAAAGGTTGAACTACAAATCTTTCTGTCATGTTGTACAAAGTTTGATTTGTATAAAAAATAGATACAAGACATGAGCTGACCTTTTCTCTAGTGAACCAGAAACTGCAATGTAATCAAACAAAGACAGGTGCTGGACGTACTCACAGAGGCCAACCCCTCCTGCATGTGGGCAAACTGGCACTGTTAGATAGGTGGGTAGAGATCAAGTTTTTTAAAACATAGGTGGGTAGAGATCAAGTTTTTTTAAACATAGGTGGGTAGAGATCAAGTTTTTTTTACACATAGTTACATAGATATTGTACTAGGATATAGAAATAACATTTTTACAGATAGTTACATATCTATTGTACTAAGCTATAGAAATAACATTTTTACAGATAGTTACATATATATTGTACTAGGACAGTGGTTCCTAAACTTTTTCGAGTGGCGACCCCTTTTATAAAAAGTAAGTGACCCGCGACCCCCATAGAATTAAAAAGCCGAAATTAGTAAGGAAATTAATAAGCACTAAAATAAGATTTTCTAGTAGACTTTCAATATGAATTACTCTTGATAACTGTTTTAATACGATGAGTACAATTGCATGCTATTTACTAAACATTCACTGTTAAATTTTTATTAACGCTAACCTATGTCATTATCAACATTCAATTTATTTCTTAATTTTGTTTTTAATCGGAGCATAGTATTGAAAATTAAATCTATTCTTGAAAAGTCAATCCATTTTACGTTTGGGTATGAATGGCGTGTGCAGTTTTTCATCTTACGCTGAATCATTCTGCAAATCAAAGAATTCATCTTGTAATTCATCGGGAATGCTGGCAACATCAAGGGAAGAAGAGAATGGGTAATGTGTCAGTGCAGATTCTTCTTCTTTCAGCTCAGAGAAATAGCGCTGCAGTTTGTTTTCAAGAGATTCAAGATGCCCAGAAATAGCTTCTTTCAAAATTTTAATTATCTCACAATCAGATCTATCACACTGCAGATTTATTTTCTTCGCCAATTTAGCAGCTTTGATAGAATTGCTCCGAGATTATTATGGAAAGTGATAATATTCATTAAGTTGATGTACGAACATACCTGTTAGTTAGGTATGATTTTCCAATCACTCTGTGTCGTTTTAAGTACCAAAAGGTCTTGTTTCCTTTGCACTTGCAAGAACAATTTGATTTCAGATTTCAATTCAAATACACAATTCACAACATTTCGTTTGCACAGTTCTTTGAAGGCTCCAGATTTAATATAATTTACTTCTTCTACTGGGAATAGGGCTGGTAAGTAGGTCACCAACCAGTTCTATGGCTCAATAAAACCTGCATGAGCCGTAGAACAGCAGTTTTAACCCATTTTAATAATCCAGTTTCAAAAAACGTATTTATTTTCTCCATGCTATCTTCACAAAATAGCAACTCTTCTATGCTATCATCTGAATGAATATAGACAAAGACCAGCAACTGCGAACACAAACTCACGTCTGTTGATTTATCAACTTGAAAAGCAAACAATTGTGAAAGTTTGATTTCATTAAAAATTTGTTATTTAACATATACAGAAATGTTAACTAAAAGCCGCTGAATAGTAATATCTCTTATTGTGTTCTTTTTTTTTTTTTTTGCTTGGCATTTTCTATCGGGCCGTCATTTGACGCTAGGACTAATGCTGTGTTTCCTTGGTGAAAACTTCCTGTTCGATCAAGTCTCAGACGTTTGCAACTAGCTTCATACCAACAAAAGACCTCCATATCTTTTTTGTTGTGTTCCGAATGACTCGTCTGAAAATGACGTTTTAGATTTGAAGGTTTCATAGACTCATGACTGAGAACACCTTTGCACTATACGGATTGTTTCTTCTCTATTCCATTTCCTGTGATGTTAGTAAAGCCGAATTTCAGATATTCTTCTAAATATTTATGTTTTGTTTCTCATTGCTAAGGTTTAGTATAACAGTTGGTGACCCCCCCCCCCCCCCCCCCCCAGAAAGCCCTTCGCGACCCCCAGTTTGGGAACCCGTGTACTAGGATATAGAAATAACATTTTTACAGATGTATAGAATGGCTCAAGCTAATGTAGCTAGTTGCACAAAATTTTTTAAGCAATTAAAATGACAAAACAACAAAACAGGGTTGTATTAAGAGGACTTAACGCTGAAAACAAAAATTGGTCACGTCGAGAGTATAGAAAAAAGACGAATGGGAGATAAACTCTGCGTAGGCACACAATTATAAAATTTTCAAATAAGTATTTTTTAATGCATTTACAACGGCATGTAGTATCTATACCAAGATATTAATAAATTATTTAATTTTAAAAAGGTCTATTAAAAATTATTTAAATAAAAATAGACCACTGGCTAGATTCAATCATTTAACTCAAATGTCATTGTAATAGTAAAAATTAAAGAAACTGGCTGAGTAAAAAAAAACATTCCTAATTCCTAGGTAAGCGGTATCATAGCGACAGCTCAGTACAGTGCAACATATATGAGTGTTTTATACTTATCGGAAGCATGTCAGTTAAGAGATAATCTTTGGGTGTCGTTGGTTAACTGAATTAGCTGGTTGCGAAACAAACAACAATGTTATCAAGAATCGACCATTTTACACAGCTACGTAGACAGATGCAAGACACAAGGATTTCTGCCCAACTTTTGCCTCCAGGTTTAAATACCAGAACTGGCCACCTAGTTTTGAACATGAGGGACAGTTTGGTCGTGGGATGACCTACGGTCACCAGGCCGGGTACCGAACTATCAGTTTAGTTAGCGGACGTACTACATACTAGACCACACTGTCCCGTTGTCATAACATTTAACAAAAGCTTGGGGCTACAGGGTCTGGAAAAACGTCTGGCAACAATGAGGATAAGCTATGGATTGGGAGGGGAATGTGTGTAAAAAAGTGTGACTTAATTTGTGGACAATGAAGGGGAGATTCAATGCTGCACCACGTTTAGAAAAGCAAGAGGTACCCCAGGACTACATAGCTAACTTATCAACCATACTTTACATACTTTCAACTTCATTTTAGATGTAGTATTCGAAAAAATAAAAAACACTAACTTAACAAAAGCAACTCAATTAGCACCCGACTCAAAGATTTTTAACTCAGGAACCCTCACCCCTCCTCATACAATCGTTATCTGAGTGTGAGTGGGTATCAAGCAAATAAAAATATGCCTTTGTTTACAAGGGTATGTTTTTATTCTTTAGCAAGATAAACTAATGGGATATGAAATAAATGAAGACTATCAGTGTACACATTCAACTTGTTACAATAGAATGAACATACTCGTAAAATGTTGTGTTTTTAACTAATTTTTCTTATATTAATAAGATTTGGATCCCACATAGTATACATGGTGAATTTAATCAACCACTGTTCAATTAATAATTTTCACCTTTGGCTTATAATGTTTAAGACAGCTTAGATACATCTTTATTTTAAATTTTAAACAAGTAAAAAGTTGAAATAAAACCGCTGCTAATAAGGAGGACATATATAATTGGAATCATAATCGCATTCTGTTATTATTTAAACAGTTAACACAGCAATGCAAACGACTAAATTTAAATTAGATTTTTTTGTTCACAAAAGGTTTAGAGCCTGTAATGTCATATTTTATTTACCTGTGCAACTAGCAAAGCTAATGTATAGAATGGCTCAAGCTAATTTACAAAAAATTGCTTGCACATACATTGTGACTGTAACCAACGCTTATAATAAAAAAATGCCAAATCAATTTTTGTACAAGCTATCTAATTAATTTTTGTACCAGCTCTCTAATTAATTTTTGTACAAGCTATCTAATTAATTTTTGTACAAGCTAATTAATTATTGTACAAGGTATCTAAATATTTGCAAGTTAATTAAAATGTATAAAGGGTTAGGTACAAGGTATCTAAATATTTGCAGGTTAATTAAAATGTATAAAGGGTTAGGGTTAGGTACAAGGTATCTAAATATTTGCAGGTAAATTAAAATGTATAAAGGGTTAGTGTTAGGTACAAGGTATCTAAATATTTGCAGGTTAATTAAAATGTATAAAGGGTTAGTGTTACGTACAAGGTATCTAAATATTTGCAGGTTAATTAAAGGGTCTCAGATAAATGACATCACACATCATCACCTATGTCTGAGCCCCCCCCCCCTGGACAAGTGACGTCATTTAGGGATGAGCCCTAATTAAAAAAAAACCTCTGACCTCCATATTTTCGAGCCATTAGAATGACAGCTAGGTTTTCACTGACTCCCCCAAGTCTACAGCTGTCTATCTGACAGAACTGCATGGCGCCGGCCTTGAGGAACTGTTTGAACATGACCCTGTTCTGGCACTGCTCACCTGTGGCCACGCCAATACCCAGGGGCTGGAGCGCCTGCAGGGAGAAATACAGGACACAGTGACCTAGGGATGGTCTAATGTCACAGTGACCTAGGGATGGTCTAATGTCACAGTGACCTAGGTCTGGTCTAATGTCACAGTGACCTAGGGATGGTCTAATGTCACAGTGACCTAGGGTTGGTCTAATGTCACAGTGACCTAGGGTTGGTCTAATGTCACAGTGACCTAGGTCTAATGTATTCTAAAAGATGGCTAAAGGCTGGTTCATCTACTTTTAATTCAGTTGTTAACTAATTAGGTTCAGTTAACTAATTAGGATCAGTTAATTAATTAGGTTCAGTTAACTAATTAGGATCAGTTAACTAATTAGGTTCAGTTAACTAATTAGGTTCAGTTGTTAACTAATTAGGTTCAGTTAACTAATTAGGTTCAGTTAACTTATTAGGTTCAGTTAACTAATTAGGTTCAGTTGTTAACTGATTAGGTTCAGTTGTTAACTAATTAGGTGCAGTCGTTAACTAATTCGGTTCAGTCGTTAACTAATTAGGTTCAGTCGTTAACTAATTAGGTTCAGTTGTTAACTAATTAGGTTCAGTTGTTAACTAATTCGGTTCAGTTGTTAACTAATTAGGTTCAGTTGTTAACTAATTAGGTTCAGTCGTTAACTAATTAGGTTCAGTTGTTAACTAATTAGGTTCAGTTGTTAACTAATGGACGCCAGCGAGTTGACGAGATTCCTTCCATAATGTTGTTGACATGGAATAAAAACGTGCTTTTTAGATTTAGACCGTAAAAAATAAAAAAAAAACTTAAGCCTAAAATTAATTTAGAAATTTTATATTTTTAGAATAAATGCTATAAAAGTTGCAAATCCAGAGAACTTGAAAATAATTTGTTGAGTTTAAGGCTACATTTCTATTTATTTTCATCAAGCCTAAGTTATAACCGGATGTTTCACTTTCATAAGACAAATATTGATTGGCTGTACAGTAACTTAGTGATCGATAACTATTTGTTTACAAAACTTTGCAGATCAAGTTTTTAAATAACAATGCAAATTTAAAACCCCATGACCTAGTTTTCTAAAATGTGTACAATAAAATTTATGGCGGCCTATCCAATAGCAGGATGCCATTGTTTATGTCGCCATTACATGTGAAAACCAAATTTTTATTTAGTTACCGAAAATATTAAAAACATCAAATACATCCAATCTTTAGTAAAGAAAAAACCAGACAGGCAGGATTTTATAACCATATTAATTGTAACTATGCCGTGCATGATTTTTAAATTAATTTATGGACCTCTCAAATACCTTTGAGACTTTTCTCGCTGGTGTCCATTATGCACACCATTAGGTGATATGAATGATACTACTAAACTGACAAGATAAACTGACAAGAGAAAAAGACAAGATACACTGACAGGTGATATGAATGAAAAGAAATGTCACCAACTTGTGCTATTTCTCTGTGTCCTAAAATATCATCTGGGGACGTGGGTTCTTCTATCCAGGTGATGTTAAAGTGGACCAGTTCACGCATCCAATCAATGGCCTCCTGCACCTCCCACTTTTGGTTGGCATCAACCATCTGGTTAGAGATGGTAGTGGATGGTGGTGGATGGTGGTGGATGGTATTAGATGATTGTGGATGGTAGTAGATGGTGGTGGATGGTGGTGGATGGTAGTGGATGGTGGTGGATGGTAGTGGATGGTGGTGGATGGTATTAGATGATTGTGGATGGTAGTAGATGGTGGTGGATGGTGGTGGATGGTAGTGGATGGTGGTGGATGGTAGTGGATGGTGGTGGATGGTAGTAGATGGTAGTAGATGACAGTGGATGGTAGTAGATGGTAGCAGATGGTAGTGGATGGTGGTGGATGGTAGTGACATTTTTAAAAATGTGGTAAAAAAGGCTTACTGCATATTGTATTTGTAGGTTGGTATTTACTGTATATTCTATCTATAGGTTGGTGAGTTTACTGTATATTCTATTTGTAGGTTTGTAGGTTTACTGTTTATTCTATCTGCAGGTTTGTAGGTTTACTGTATATTCTATTTGCAGGTTGGTAGATTTATATTGTATATGTGGCAAGCATTGGGCTATCACTATAGCTGTGGCAAGTATTTGGCTATCACTATAGCTGTGGCAAGTATTGGGTTATAGCTGTGGCAAGTATTGGGCTATAGCTATGGCAAGTATTGGGCTATAGCTGTGGCAAGTATTGGGCTATAGCTGTGGCAAGTATTGGGCTATCACTATAGCTGTGGCAAGTATTTGGCTATCACTATAGCTGTGGCAAGTATTGGGCTATAGCTATGGCAAGTATTGGGCTATAGCTGTGGCAAGTATTGGGCTATAGCTGTGGCAAGTATTGGGCTATCATTATAGCTGTGGCAAGTATTGGGCTATAGCTGTGGCAAGTATTGGGCTATAGCTGTGGCAAGTATTGGGTTATAGCTGTGGCAAGTATTGGGCTATAGCTGTGGCAAGTATTGGGCTATAGCTGTGGCAAGTATTGGGCTATCACTATAGCTGTGGCAAGTATTGGGCCATAGCTGTGGCAAGCTTTGGGCTATAGCTGTGGCAAGTATTGGGCTATCACTATAGTTGTGGCAAGCATTGGGCTATCACTATAGCTGTGGCAAGTATTGGGCTATAGCTGTGGCAAGCTTTGGGCTATAGCTGTGGCAAGCATTGGGCTATCACTATAGTTGTGGCAAGCATTGGGCTATCACTATAGCTGTGGCAAGTATTGGGCTATAGCTGTGGCAAGTATTGGGCTATAGCTGTGGCAAGTATTGGGCTATAGCTGTGGCAAGCATTGGGCTATCACTATAGCTGTGGCAAGTATTGGGCCATAGCTGTGGCAAGTATTAGGCTATCACTATAGCTGTGGCAAGCATTGGGCTATCACTATAGCTGTGGCAAGTATTGGGCTATAGCTGTGCAAGCATTTGGCTATCACTATAGCTGTGGCAAGCATTGGGCTATCACTATAGCTGTGGCAAGCATTGGGCTATCACTATAGCTGTGGCAAGTATTGGGCTATAGCTGTGGCAAGTATTGGGCTATAGCTGTGGCAAGTATTGGGCTATCACTATAGCTGTGGTTGCAGTTGAAGAAAGAAACTTTGAGACCAACCAATAAATGAGACGGCTCCATAGACTGGCGTAAAATCTTGGCTCGGCGTTTGTCATCTTGTAGGTCAGAGCCAACTTTCATCTTAAATCTGTTCATTAAAAGTTGTTTCATTCATCATATCTGTTCATTAAAAGTTGTTTAATTCATCTTAAATCTGTTCATTAAATTTGTTTAATTCATCTTAAATCTGTTCATTAAATTTGTTTAATTCATCTTAAATCTGTTCATTAAATTTGTTTAATTCATCTTAAATCTGTTCATTAAATTTGTTTAATTCATCTTAAATCTGTTCATTAAAAGTTGTTTAATTCATCTTAAATCTGTTCATTAAATTTGTTTAATTCATCTTAAATCTGTTCATTAAAAGTTGTTTAATTCATCTTAAATCTGTTCATTAAAAGTTGTTTAATTCATCTTAAATCTGTTCATTAAAAGTTGTTTAATTCAAGTTATATTCTATGTTTATTATTATATTAATTAACCAAATAAATGTATCAATTCTAAATATGAAAAGGTTTTTTGGTGTTTAATACACGCAGACTGTGAAACAAATGTGATCCACCATTGTATAACTTAGCACATGCACGTTTTACTGTGAAACAAATGTGATCCACCATTGTATAACTTAGCACATGCACATTTTACTGTGAAACAAATGTGATCCACCATTGTGTAACTTAGCACATGCACATTTTACTATTTCATGATAACTGGGACCCAGCGACCTGTTTATAAATACGAGTGCCGTGACACTAGATTTTTTAGATAACAGCTGTTGAGCAAGCTAAAATTTGAGCTAATATTTTATCATAAAAACTTTTCTTATTAAAAACATGGAAAAAAAACAACTGGTGTGGCATTTTTTTTTTTTTTTTTTGAGGGCTGGAACAGATTTCAACGGGAAAAAAATTGTTTGAAATACAAGCAATGTTAACGAACAAATTGAATTCTTATCTCCAGGTACCATATAATTAGATATATATATATATATATATATATATATATATATATATATATGTATATATATACATATATATCTAAATATATATATATATATATATATATGTATATATGTATGTATATATGTATATATGTATATATGTATATATGTATATATGTATATATGTATATATATATATGTATATATATATATGTATGTATATATATATATATATATATGTATATATATATATATATATATATATATATATATATATATATATATATATATATATATATATATATATATGAGACTTGGGCCTTATATACTGAGGACAAAAACAAAAATGAAAAGTTTGATGGGTCTTTAAGAAACCCTGGACCTTTATCAAGCCTTAGACACCTATGTACTGAAACTAAAAAGTATTTGAATGAAAACAATTTCTGACCTTGTAAAACCTTGACCTTGTGCTTCTTGACACAACTGAAATTTTTAAAAAATATTCATCGAAAGCTAGAGCTGTATGATATTAAATAGGGCATATCCAGGGTTTTAGACGAGGGGGAATAGTGAGGGCAGAAAAAGGTATTGTTCATATCTATCTATCTGATCTATTTGATCTATCTGATCTATCTATCTATCTTTCTATCTGATCTATCTATCTGATCTATCTATCTATCTATCTATCTATCTATCTATCTACCTACCTACCTACCTACCTATCTATCTATCTATCTATCTCTATATATCTATATCTATATCTATATCTATATCTATATATACGAGAAAAATGGCTTGTTGAGGAAGGATACAACGGACGCTAGGTTGATAGTGCTGTCTCTTTTCTCTAAACTAAAACCAACCCCCCCCCCCCCCCCACACACTACCGTCCCATTCAACGAAATATAATTATATAATTTTTCCAGTGTCCGCCCAATCCCTGAAAATTCTACCCCCGCCCCCGAAAATTTCAAGTACCCCCACCCCTCTCCGGGGAGGAAAAAGTCTGAAAGAAACATTGGTCACATTTGTAGATCATACAAACTAAAGGAAGAACCTGGGCGGGGCTTCGCCCCTACCGTAAGAGATGCATAAAAAAAAACTGTGCACGCTAAACACTTTTTAGATTAGATAAAGTTCCTCCCTCTGGGGAGGAAAAAGTCTGAAAGAAACACTGGTGTCGCGCTTAGCCACTACCCGAAGAATTGAATGAAAGAAACTCTGCGTGCAAACCACTTTTTAGATTAGACACATGAATTAGGCGGTAATTTTATTAAAAAAGTATCGATGAAGAAATTTCTTTTGAGTTGGGGAGGGGGGGGGGCCCAGACGCTCTTACGCGGGGGTGGGGCTTTGCCCCTCCCCTACCCGAAGAATTGTATGAAAGAAACTCTTCACGCAAACCATTTAGATTAGACAAAATTGCCTTTTTATTCAATGTTTACTCGAGAATCAATGACGTCATATTACTGTGTGCACTCTCCGGCTTGAGATTATTTTTTACTACATGCTAAATGTGATATCATATTTTGTTTCCGTCTTACTGTGAAAGTTTTTAAGTTGCTTGTGTTTTCTCTAGAGCGTTCTTGTCAGATACATAGATACACAGATAGATACACAGACAGCAAAACTATTATATAGAATATATATATATATATATATATATATATATATATATATATATATATATATATATATATATATATTCATTAGGTCTCAATCAATAAGTTCAACTGACTCTTTGAATTTTCTCATCACTGTAGCCCAGCCAGGCACATGAGGTTGTGTAAGCAGGATAACCAGACTCTTTCATCTCTTGCTCTGAAACATTTTTTAAGCTCAATAATAGTCATTGCACAACATTCACTTGATACTATTCACTTGATACTATTCACTTGATACTATTCACTTGATACTATTCACTTGACAACAAATAGAAATTTGATTATCTAAGCCTGAGGGCTTCTGTGATAAAACCCTTTACAAAACCCTTTACAAAAGCCTTTACAAAACCCTTTACAAAAGCCTTTACAAAACCCTTTACAAAAGCCTTTACAAAACCCTTTACAAAACCCTTTACAAAAGCCTTTACAAAAGCCTTTACAAAAGCCTTTACAAAACCCTTTACAAAACCCTTTACAAAAGCCTTTACAAAACCCTTTACAAAAGCCTTTACAAAACCCTTTACACAACAATTGACTGTTAATGAGACATAAGAATGTAGGTAAAAATGACAGCCATATAAGAATGTAGGTAAAAATGACAGCCATATAAGAATGTAGGTAAAAATGACAGCCATATAAGAATGTAGGTAAAAATGCCAGCCATATAAGAATGTAGGTAAAAATGCCAGCTATATAAGAATGTAGGTAAAAATGCCAGCCATATAAGAATGTAGGTATTTAGTGTTGAAGGACAAACCTCGCTTGACTTTACCAGGCAGCATCTGTGTGAGCAGACCTAGAGGAAAAAAACATTGTTAAAGTGCTTACTCAAATCTAAATACACAACCAAACATGTGCTTACATAAATCTAAATACACAACCAAACATGTGCTTACACAAATCTAAATACTCAATCAAACATGTGCTTTGTTAAAGTGCTTACACAAATCTCAATACACAATCAAACATGTGCTTACACAAATCTAAATACACAATCAAACATGTGCTTTGTTAAAGTGCTTACACAAATCTAAATACACAACCAAACAAGTGCTTACACAAATCTAAATACACAACCAAACATGTGCTTTGTTAAAGTGCTTACACAAATCTAAATACACAACCAAACAAGTGCTTACACAAATCTAAATACACAACCAAACATGTGCTTTGTTAAAGTGCTTACACAAATCTAAATACACAACCAAATGTGCATACACAAATCTAAATACACAATCAAACATGTGCTTTGTTAAAGTGCTTACACAAATCTAAATACACAACCAAACATGCTTACACAAATCTAAATACACAATCAAACATGTGCTTTGTTAAAGTGCTTACACAAATCTCAATACACAATCAAACATGTGCTTTGTTAAAGTGCTTACACAAATCTCAATACACAATCAAACATGTGCTTACACAAATCTAAATACACAATCAAACATGTGCTTACACAAATCTAAATACACAATCAAATACATAAGCAAAAGCTTGAAAAAGTTTGAAATTCTGGTGACTTTATAAAAAAAATAAAAATGTGACTCACCAATGGCTTCTACTGGAGTTAAGGCATCCATTCTTTTATCAGAGAAAAACAGAAATCAGAAAACATTAGAAAACCTTTCCTCTATAGGCTTAAGGGCAGACTTTTTTCAGTGATAAGGAAGTTGTAATTAACGTAGAAAATGCAAAAAAATGCAAAAAAAATCCCTTAAAAGTATGTTTTTATGAAAATATTTTCTAAAAAGTGTTATTTTTAGGGTAAAATTGCTCAAATTAGCTCTCATTGCAATCACAATAGCAAAGCTTCTGTTTGTCAGAATAACACAAATCTTTAAAATAGTGAAATATGTAAAAATACAAAAAGGATGAACAAAAACAATTAGAAAATAATAAAAAATGGATTTTAGCCACATTTTTTAAATGTGAGACCTAAAAATTGTCAAAAAAAGTAGGGAGTAGACTTAGGTTTTTATTTTATAAAATGTGAAGTTTCAAAGATATAGAAATTCTGTAGTTCAACTTTACTAGCAGTGTTTAGTGAACATGTGTGCAAATTTCAGCTAAATATCTCAAGTAGTTTTTGAGGTATAGTGATTTAACAGGTACAATTTGGGTAAAAAGTAACATTTTGAGAAAAATGGTGAAAAATATACTAAATTTGGAAAAAAGGAGAAAAAGCGAAAACTTTACAAAAAAAAAAAACCCTTTTTAAAACCTCCCAGTTAAATAAATTGCATCTGGAGCCTCTTACTCAGCAATAAGATCTATTTAAGTTCGTTTTTAATTTTTATGTTGCCTAATGTCACGTAATATAGGTGAATTATGTAATTATGTAATTACTCTAATTAATTTAAAAAGTATAACAAATACTAGCAACATGTAATTAGGCAAAACAAGTATACAAAAATGTTCAGGATCGAATGTAGTTTCAGAAACAATAGATTTTGAAAAATCAATATTTCTGACTTAAATATGTATTGGGGGGGGGGGGGGGGGGGGGGGGGTTAACCTGCCTTTAAAAAGACACTTTAGGGAAAGTATTTCAAGCTACATGTATCTGACCAGAAAAATGCGCTAAAAATGTGCAAGGAAGTAATGAGATAATAATTTCAGAAAGTTAGTTTTTTTTTCTATTCAAATCTACAAACATGGGAAAGAAATATGTATGTCTATGTAATAATACAGTCACATACCAACTGAAACACAATCCTTATTGCTAAGCTATCTCTGTGGTGTTTTTAATAAATGCAATTTTTTATTAGCTCATTTTTCTATGTGCGCAAATTTCCAAATTTCCCCAAAGTATTTTTCTGGGAACAATCAAAGTCAATTGTTGAGACAAGTTGCTCTACTTACATGTATCTGAAGTCAATTGTTTAGACAAGTTGGTCTACTTACATGTATCTGAAGTCAATTGTTGAGACAAGTTGCTCTGGTTCCTAAGAAATTTAAAAATTGTTGAATAACAAACTGTAAAAGATTAGATCTAAAGATGGTTTGTTGATGATAAAACAACCTCAGCCACCTCTATCTAACCGTTTTTGTAGTTCTCAATCATCTTTTTTTTCTCTTACACTAACCACACACCTATAACACCAACCACACATATAACACCAACCACACTTATATAACACCAACCACACACCTATAACACCAACCACACTTATATAACACCAACCACACTTATATAACACCAACCACACTTATATAACACCAACCACACTTATATAACACCAACCACACTTATATAACACCAACCACACACCTATAACACCAACCACACTTATATAACACCAACCATACTTATATAACACCAACCACACACCTATAACACCAACCACACTTATATAACACCAACCACACTTATATAACACCAACCACACTTATATAACACCAACCACACACCTATAACGCCAACCACACCTATAACACCAACCACACTTATATAACACCAACCACACACCTATAACACCAACCACACTTATATAACACCAACCACACTTATATAACACCAACCACACACCAATAACACTAACCACACTTATATAACACCAAACACACACCTATAACACCAACCACACTTATAAAACACCAACCACACACCTATAACACCAACCACACTTATATAACACCAACCACACTTATATAACACCAACCACACACCAATAACACTAACCACACTTATATAACACCAAACAACACACCTATAACACCAACCACACTTATAAAACACCAACCACACACCTATAACACCAACCACACTTATATAACACCAACCGCACTTATATAACACCAACCACACTTATATAACACCAACCACACACCTATAACACCAACCACACACCTATAACACCAACCACACTTATATAACACCAACCACACTTATATAACACCAACCACACACCTATAACACCAACCACACACCTATAACACCAACCACACTTATATAACACCAACCACACTTATATAACACTAACCACACCTATAACACCAACCACACACCTATAACACCAACCACACACCTATAACACCAACCACACTTATATAACACCAACCACACTTATATAACACTAACCTCACCTATAACACCAACCACACACCTATAACACCAACCACACACCTATAACACCAACCACACACCTATAACACCAACCACACTTATATAACACCAACCACACTTATATAACACTAACCACACCTATAACACCAACCACACACCTATAACACCAACCACACACCTATAACACCAACCACACACCTATAACACCAACCACACACCTATAACACCAACCACACACGTATAACACCAACCACACTTATATAACACCAACCACACTTTTAACACCAACCACACACCTATAACACCAACCACACACCTATAACACCAACCACACTTATATAACACCAACCACACTTATATAACACTAACCACACCTATAACACCAACCACACACCAATAACACCAACCACACACCTATAACACCAACCACACTTATATAACACCAACCACACTTATATAACACCAACCACACTTATATAACACCAACCACACACCGATAACACCAACCACACTTATATAACACCAACCACACACCTATAACACCAACCACACTTATATAACACCAACCACACACCTATAACACCAACCACACTTATATAACACCAACCATACTTATATAACACCAACCACACACCTATAACACCAAACACACTTATATAACACCAACCACACTTATATAACACCAACCACACTTATATAACACCAACCACACACCTATAACGCCAACCACACCTATAACACCAACCACACTTATATAACACCAACCACACACCTATAACACCAACCACACTTATATAACACCAACCACACTTATATAACACCAACCACACACCAATAACACTAACCACACTTATATAACACCAAACACACACCTATAACACCAACCACACTTATAAAACACCAACCACACACCTATAACACCAACCACACTTATATAACACCAACCACACTTATATAACACCAACCACACACCTATAACACCAACCACACACCTATAACACCAACCACACTTATATAACACCAACCACACACCTATAACACCAACCACACTTATATAACACCAACCACACTTATATAACACCAACCACACTTATATAACACCAACCACACACCTATAACACCAACCATACTTATATAACACCAACCACACTTATATAACACCAACCACACACCTATAACACCAACCACACACCTATAACACCAACCATACTTATATAACACCAACCACACACCTATAACACCAACCACACACCTATAACACCAACCACACACCTATAACACCAACCACACTTATATAACACCAACCACACACCTATAACACCAACCACACACCTATAACACCAACCATACTTATATAACACCAACCACACACTTTTAACACCAACCACACTTATATAACACCAACCATACTTATATAACACCAACCACACACCTATAACACCAACCACACACCTATAATGCCAACCACACTTATATAACACCAACCACACACCTATAACACCAACCACACACCTATAACACCAACCACACTTATATAACACCAACCACACACCTATAACACCAACCACACACCTATAACACCAACCACACTTATATAACACTAACCACACCTATAACACCAACCACACACCAATAACACCAACCACACACCTATAACACCAACCACACTTATATAACACCAACCACACTTATATAACACCAACCACACACCTATAACACCAACCACACACCTATAACACCAACCACACACCTATAACACCAACCACACTTATAAAAACACCAACCACACTTATATAACACTAACCACACCTATAACACCAACCACACACCTATAACACCAACCACACACCTATAACACCAACCACACTTATATAACACCAACCACACACCAATAACACCAACCACACACCTATAACACCAACCACACTTATATAACACCAACCACACTTATATAACACCAACCACACTAATATAACACCAACCACACACCTATAACACCAACCACACACCTATAACGCCAACCACACCTATAACACCAACCACACTTATATAACACCAACCACACACCTATAACACCAACCACACTTATATAACACCAACCACACTTATATAACACCAACCACACACCAATAACACTAACCACACTTATATAACACCAAACACACACCTATAACACCAACCACACTTATAAAACACCAACCACACACCTATAACACCAACCACACTTATATAACACCAACCACACTTATATAACACCAACCACACACCTATAACACCAACCACACACCTATAACACCAACCACACTTATATAACACCAACCACACACCTATAACACCAACCACACTTATATAACACCAACCACACTTATATAACACCAACCACACTTATATAACACCAACCACACACCTATAACACCAACCATACTTATATAACACCAACCACACTTATATAACACCAACCACACACCTATAACACCAACCACACACCTATAACACCAACCACACTTATATAACACTAACCACACCTATAACACCAACCACACACCTATAACACCAACCACACTTATATAACACCAACCACACTTATATAACACCAACCACACACCTATAACACCAACCACACACCTATAACACCAACCACACACCTATAACACCAACCACACTTATAAAAACACCAACCACACTTATATAACACCAACCACACTTATATAACACTAACCACACCTATAACACCAACCACACACCTATAACACCAACCACACACCTATAACACCAACCACACACCTATAACACCAACCACACACCTATAACACCAACCACACACGTATAACACCAACCACACTTATATAACACCAACCACACTTTTAACACCAACCACACCTATAACACCAACCACACACCTATAACACCAACCACACTTATATAACACCAACCACACTTATATAACACTAACCACACCTATAACACCAACCACACACCAATAACACCAACCACACACCTATAACACCAACCACACTTATATAACACCAACCACACTTATATAACACCAACCACACTTATATAACACCAACCACACACCGATAACACCAACCACACTTATATAACACCAACCACACACCTATAACACCAACCACACTTATATAACACCAACCACACACCTATAACACCAACCACACTTATATAACACCAACCATACTTATATAACACCAACCACACACCTATAACACCAAACACACTTATATAACACCAACCACACTTATATAACACCAACCACACTTATATAACACCAACCACACACCTATAACGCCAACCACACCTATAACACCAACCACACTTATATAACACCAACCACACACCTATAACACCAACCACACTTATATAACACCAACCACACTTATATAACACCAACCACACACCAATAACACTAACCACACTTATATAACACCAAACACACACCTATAACACCAACCACACTTATAAAACACCAACCACACACCTATAACACCAACCACACTTATATAACACCAACCACACTTATATAACACCAACCACACACCTATAACACCAACCACACACCTATAACACCAACCACACTTATATAACACCAACCACACACCTATAACACCAACCACACTTATATAACACCAACCACACTTATATAACACCAACCACACTTATATAACACCAACCACACACCTATAACACCAACCATACTTATATAACACCAACCACACTTATATAACACCAACCACACACCTATAACACCAACCACACACCTATAACACCAACCATACTTATATAACACCAACCACACACCTATAACACCAACCACACACCTATAACACCAACCACACACCTATAACACCAACCACACTTATA